TATTAAAAAATATATTTATTTTAAATTTTAAAATATTTATTCTTTTCTTATTTTAAATATATTTTTCATTTCATATATATTTTTTATTTTAAAATTTAAATATTTATTTATTAACTATTTATATGAATATTACTAATTGTTTTAAAACAAATTTATATGAATCCCCTGAGTAATAATATATTTATAATTAAAAAATTACTCATTATATATATAATTACATAAATAAAAACATAGAAAGGTTCATGATAATATATAATGTAGAAAGATAGAATATAATTAATCATAAAATGTATTTGAAAATAAAAAATCAATAAATGTGAATAAATATCCTCTTCAAATATAAAATGGATTTAATAAATTTTAAAAATAAACAAATTTTACAAAATCAATAAAAATGATTGATATTTAATCAAATGCTTCAATATTATATAGAAAATAAGGGAATTAAAATGAAATGTAAAACTCTTAAGATAAATCTTTGATTTAAAATCTTAATTTTACATGTCCTAAGCCTATGTAATCAGAATAATAATAACATAATTTTATGAAAAAAAAATTGTAAAAAGTCAAATTATTTTTGACAAAATAAAAAAATGAAAAAACAACATTAAATTAAACCAAGTAAACAAATCAAAAAATTTAACACATAAATACTACAATAAAACCTAAAATTAAGCTGACAGATGATCATGATAATGATTTAAAACATGTTTAATAAAAGCTAAAGAAATAGATTTAACTAGATTAAATAAGTAAATAAATTAGGAAAATAAATATAAATCATACAAAAAACATTAATAATTAATAAAATACAGAAATTTCAAATAGACTTCCATTTGGATCAGATGAATAAAGACTAAAAAAATTCGCAATATAAGTAATTAATAATATATAAAAGTAGTAAAGAAGCATAGGAAATAATAATTCTTTAAAAAAGTAAAAAAATTAAATTAAATAATTCTTTTTTATATATAACTTTTTAAAGAATTAATTAAGAATAAAGAAGATGTTAAATAGGACTTTAAGATATGAATAATATAAAAATTTAAAAAAAAATATAATGTAATAATAAAAAAAATATAAATGTAATATTAAAAAAAATATATAAAAACATATTTCCAAAAAATATATATAGAATTTAAAGAAAACATAAAATAAAATACACAAAATGATATTCAATCTAAATTATTATAAAATAATCAATCTAAAAATAATTTTAAAAGAAACGAAATATTAGAATATATGAAAAAAAAGAAACAATTAACATAAAAAGAAGAATAATAAAAATATTTAGATCAAATATCAGCGGAATAAAGAAAAAAAGAAAATATACAAAATTTATAAAACAATATAAAAACCATCCATAAATAAATAAACAAATAATTAAGCAAAAATAACTATTATTCTAATTCGAGCAAAATGAACTTTTATAATTTGGAAAAAATATAAGAGAATAATAATAGTAATGATTATAGTGAACTTTATGAACAGTACAAATAAATAATGAATTATTAGAAAAATTGTTCAATTAATATGAAATAATATAGTTTTTCTTAAAGTTTTAAGAAGTTAAAAAGTTTAGACACATCAGATAAAATAGTTACATAAAAAAGAAAAAATTAGCCTAAACGTTTAAGCAATTTAAAAAATAAAAAAACAAAAAAAAAAGCAGCCTAATTTTACAGAAAAAAAGAAATCTATATCTTATCAAAGCCAAAATATGTCTAATTAATAAAAATAAAGCTAATTTAGTGGTTTGAGTAATAAAAATGATAATTAAGTTTCAGAAGAAATTTCCTTTTAATAAATTAATAATGCTGCTGTTACTATTTAAAAGAATTATAGAGGGTATTTAACAAGGAAAATTATTACTTATTATATTTAACTTTAATTATAAGGCGAAAATATGGGTTATGAAAACTTAATTAATAATTTAGAAAATGAAGAAAAAAATGATTAAAAAAATAATTCTAATAGTAAAATTTATTAAGAGGAAAATTTATTATTTAATGAAGATTAAGAATAAAATTTCAGAAGAAATCTCTTTTAGAATGAAAATATCAAAAATATTAACATTTCAAAAGATAATAATAATATAGAAGAATGCAAATAAAATAAAGAAGAATAAAAATAAAATAAAGAAGTAATAAATAAATCTAAAGAAAATTAAAAAAATGATTAATTCAATTTTGAAGGCCATTAATAAAATGATGAAAAGTTTTTACATATTTCTACAATAAATACTTCTGATAATGGTTTTTAATTTTTTTATAAAATAAAAATAATTTATTTTTTATTTATTGTTAGATAAAAATAGTTAAAATGAATTGTTAGATTATTATTTTGATAATGATTAAGAAATCGAAGAAGAAGAAGAAAAAAAAACGAAAATGAAAGCCCCTTAAACGAATTTAAATTAAATAATTCTTAAAAAAAGATAAAATTTCGTCACATTCATAAATTTACTAATCTTAATCTGAAAAATCTTTTAATGAAAAAATTAAAAATAAAGTAAAAATAAATTGTTAAAATGAAATTTATAAAAAAAAATAAGTTTTATTCTCCATAAAATTAAAAATTTCAAAGTTAAAAATAAAAATCTAGTAAAGAAAAAAGTAGTAGTTATAGTTCTAATTATTCAAAAGAAAATTAATTAAACCAAAATAATTTTAAATTGTTAATTTCTTAAGATAGTATTAATGAAATAATTAGATTAAGAGAAAAAGCTTTATAAATGAGATACAATTTTTAATTAAATATTATAGAAAAGTAAATTTAGGAAAATTAGATAAACTAAGAATAATATTAACTATAAAAAGAATAATTAGAAAACTGGAAAAAGACAGAAAAAGAGGAAATCTTGAATACTTAAAAAACCTTATAAATAGGTTTAAATAAAGCCATTGAAAGTATATAAAAGACATAAAGAGATGTAAAATTAGTCGAAAATATTTAAAAAAATCCCCAAGAAATTGATTTTGAAAAAAAAATATTGAAAAAGATATAAACGATTTACTTTGTTCGAAAAGTATTCTTTGCTAGAGTGATCATAATGATTCGAAAATAAATAATATAAATGAAAAAGATTCCAATAAAAATGTTAAGTTAATACTTGAATATGTAGATTTTGAAAATAATGATAATTTAGAATAAAATCTTAATTAATAAAGTAAAGATGAAGAAATTTTAAATGAAAAATATAACATTAATTAATAAATATAATGTCTATAGTAATAACAATAGGAACCTCTTTTACCTGAATTTTTAGATAATACAGAAGAAATTTAAAATAGATTTATTATTTATGGATCAATTTAATAAAGAATATTATAATAACTAAATAAATAAAATATTTTTGATTATTCTGATAATTATGGAATTTGCACTAATTTAGCATCATTATTAAATTATTTGGAATAAGTTTATGAGTTTATTTTATGTATTTTTTTATTATTATTAAATTATTATATATATATAATTTTTGTATTTAAGATTATTATAAAGAAAATTTAATTGAAAATTTAAATACTCCTTTTGGATTCTCTCCTATTTAAAGATTAAAAATAATACATGGATACGAAAATCATTCAAATAATACTAAAATTTTACCTTTTGTTTTAAGTGAAGACATATTTATTTAATTTGAATAAGAATTTTAAGTAAAATTAATATTTTATTTTAATCAAATGTTTAAAAAACATAAAATATTTAGAACTCAGAATTAAGTGATAAATAATAAATCATATAAGAATTTTAAAGGATACATAATAAAGCAATTTTTGATTCTTTTAATGAAATTTTGAATTAATTTAGACCTTTTTATTAGTGCGGGGGAATCCCATATTTGTGGTCTTAATCATCTGAGTAGAATTTAGTTTATGGAAAAGCTTCAGATGATAATATATCTTTTATTTAGGAAAGGTGTAAAAAGAAAATACTTGATTGGGCTTCTGATTTGTGTGGAATAATAAATGAATAACATGATGAAAACTAATAAGCTATACCTCATACAGATGATTAAGGAAATTATTTCAGTTTGAGTGCTATTTTAGAATTAATAAAACCTCAAAACTAATACTTATCTTAAATAAGGGAAGAAAGAATTTCTTAAATGCTTGTTACTGAAGTTATTTTTTGTTTTTTTATAATTAATTTATTTTAATTATTAAATAGATTTATGAAAATGAATACAGATGGAAATTGTATGAAGATTAAAAAACTGAAGTATTTTAAGAAATTTCTGATGAAGTATTTTAAGAATTAATATAGGAATTTGTTAATGAAAATATATATTTATTTCAATAAAGTTGAACTATAGAAGAATATTTATTTCTAAAAATACAATAATATTATTATTTTTATATAAATATATAAAAAATTAATAATTTCTTTTATTATCATATAGAACTGCTTTTTTTATTTATTTATAAATGCTTATTATTTTTAAATGAAAAAGTATATTTTAATATTAAATATTAAAAAAATATATAATTTCTTAAGTTAAAAATTGAAAGTTTTTTTTTTTTAAAAAAAAAAAAATTATTAAATAATAATTAATTTTTATAATTATTTAAAACTTTAAAATTATTATGTTATTTATATCTTCAATTTTATTTTTTTTATTTTTTTATTCAACCCAGCAACTCCTTGAAATAGATTTATTAAAAGATTGTAAAAAAATAAAAGTAACATCTGGAAAATCCTTATTAATGTATTTTGATTTTAGTTACATAGAAAATTCAGAGTTTAAATATATTACAGATTGGGGATTAAAATTTATTTAATTAGACAACTAAAATTTAAATTGTGATGATACTAAAGGAGTAGAAATACAGAAACCATTATTTTTAGTTCAGGAAAACTTTAATATTTATAGTTAATTTACATTAAGACTTTTTAATTATAATTCCACTGATATATATATATATACTACTTTTAGTATATAAGAAAATTTAAATTTAGTTGATTTTAAAGAAAAGTTAAATAAAAAAGGATAGAAAATGACTTTAACATATGAAATAATAACAGCATAAAGAGTTAATTATAAAACAAGTGACATGTTTTCAATTGTAATTTCTAAAAGCTTTTTAAGTGGAAAACTATTGCCTTTTAATATGCCACAATCTAATGATATTTTATTCGATTTAATTTAAGCTGAAAATTAAGTTGAATTTAAAAATTTGGGATTAAATGAGAGATAACCATTCGATGATACTTTTTGGTAATAAAAAGATACTATATTAATACCTTATTTTCCATATTTTGCTAATTGTAATGGTAATATAAATTTGTTTATTTTTTATATAAAAATTAAAAAATATATAAATATATAAATATATAAATATATAAATATATATATATATATATATATATATATATTATTTAAAGGATATGATAAACATATGATTATTTATTAATATTTAGAAAATCTTGAAAAATGTTAATTAAAGTTGCCTGAAGAAACATTATTAGTAAACTCTATTCCTATTTCAGGTTTATATCCTATTGCTGATGAATGTAATTATAAACTTACATGTACATACGAAGAGTAATATGATATAGTTTATAAAGGAACTAAATGGTATGATACTGAAAATTCAATTCTATTTTATATAACTTAAGATTGTAAATTTATATATATATATATATATAAATATATATTTTAATATTTATTTTAATTAGATTTAACTTTAGAAGAATTTATCAAAGAAAAAAATGACTCAAGTGGTTTTTTTTCTTAAATTTTACAGGATAAAAAAGGCGATTTAATTCCTGTTAAATTTAAATCAATTGGTAAAAAAAGTGGGTATATACCTAACACTGTGATTTTTAAAATTTATTATAATTAGGTATATCTTTATATTAAATAAATTAAATACTTTTTAATAAAATATAGTTTTCAAAAAATTAGAAAAGAATTAAATAAAGTTAAGTTACATTGACTGACTATAAAATAGTTACAAAAGGATAAATATCAATACCTTATACTCTTTAAATCATATTCGAACCAATGAATTATATTGATTTAATAAATGGCTTTGAATTTAATTCATTTATTTATATTTTATTATTTTTAATATTATCTGTTTGCACAGTGTTTATTATTTTTATTTTTTGGTTTATAAATAAATACTATATTTCAAAACTTTAACATAAACCTCCTTTAAAAATTTGGTAAACAATAATAATAGCATTTTATCCAGCTTTAAAGGGAACTTTTTTTGGTACAATTCCTTTTTTGGTTGCTCATTTTTTTGTTTATTTCATATATTAAAGTAAATTATTAATACATATTTTATTTATTATTATTTTTTAAAGTTTAAATGTTTAGTGTGGATAATGTTTTTAATTAATATGATGTCACTATTATAACTCCCGAAGAAAAAAAAAAAATCGAATAAGGCCGTTCTGGCCTAATGCTTTGTATTATGGGACTTTTCTTTATGTATTATGGGGCTTGTTTGTAAATACCATTACCTTCAACAGAGTATGAAAACACAATAAAGATAGCTTTAAAAAAATTAGAAAACGATAAAAATAATACGAAAAAAGATTTTTTTGAAGATTATTTAAGTTAGAATTTGCAAGATTCTGATAATTAAGAGGAAGAAGACATTAGTATAAATGATTAAAAAAATAAAAGTCTTGTACAAACAGCTGAAAATAATAATAATATTAATTCTAAAATAGAAATAAATTATAATAAAAATAAAACAAGTTCAGAGTAAAATAATAAATTAAATAAATATAAAATATATATATATATATATATATATATATATATATTATATATTATATATATATATATTATATTATATCCATATTATTATTTTTTATTAGAGAAAACCTTTAAAAGTCAAAATTAAACGATTCAAATGAAAACGATGATTAAGAAAGTGATTAAGAAGATCTTCCATTTGATATAAAATAGACATTCATTCATAAAAGATATCATTATTTTATGATAAGCATTTTTTCAGCATTTATATATTTAATATTATTAGAATTTTCGTATATGTAAACCTTTTCAGAAAATATTTTTATATATTTAATTTTGCTTTTTGGTTTTGAGTCTATATTTACTTTTTTATTATAAGAATATATATTGAAAGAAAATTTATTAATTCAGCCTATTAATGCCTCTTTTGAAACTATTTAATTTATAATGTTCATAGCTGCTGATAATTTCGTTTATTTTATAATTTCTTACATAAGTAGGATGGGTTTAGTTATAGCTTATAGAACATTTATTGACCCAGTTTTAAAAAACAGAAATTTTTACAAAATAAAATTAATAAAGTAAATCTTAAAATGTTTTCCTCAAAATAAATGGTTAAAAAAGTAAAAAATATTTTTTTTTAGAATAAAATAAAAATATTAAATAAAAAGATAAATCAAACCAAATTAATTAGAATAAAATCTAAAACATTTTCTAGGATTAAGTAATGAACCAAATGATATATTTGCAGACAGCCCAACAATTGAACATGTTTTAAATTAACTTTTATCATATGCTTCTAAAGTGCATGCTATATTCATAAAGCCTTTAGCTTTATTATTGATAATGTTTTTTGCTGATGAAAGTTAGATTCCATAAAAATATGTGATATAAACATAAGATTTTTAAATATTTCTTTATTTTTCTATATTTATTATACTTCCTTAAATTATAATTGATATTTTAGTTCTTAATAGTTTAGAATTGTTATATGGTTTTAAATTATTTGATTATTTTAGTTATTGTAAATATAGATATGAAAATAGAAGTGTTTCTTGGATAGGATATAATTATACAAAAGATAAATCTTTAGAAATAATATATAGGTCATTAGATAATATGCAATTTTCCGATCAGTTTTATTTTATAGGAACTATTACTACTTTCGGAATTTTATTTTTCGTAATAGGAATGACAATAATGTTAAGAACTTAATACATATTTTTTTCTGATCCTGTAATATATCCTATGATAACTTTTTACTATTTTATTGTACATCCTACTAAATGGTTGATGATATATTTTTGGAGCAAAGTAATTTTATTTTAAAAAAAAATATATATATATTTTTGTAAAATAAAAAAAATAGTTTGATCTATGGAAATTAGTAGATTAAGAAAATGGAAATTAATAATTGGAAAGTATTGATGATATATTAAATTAAGAAAGAGAAAATATAGAATAAATAATGGAACAAGAAGAAATAAGAGAGCATTTTGTGAAATAAAATAAAGAATGGTTGATAAAAAATTTAACCGAATATTTAACTCCTGAAAGTTTTTTGGAAAACAACGAATATCTATTAAATTTGTATTAAAAATTAATAGAAGACGAAAATTAAGAAGAAAAAGAAAAAAGAAGGAAAGGAATGCAAGATAAAAAGAAATAAGAACTACAAAGATTAAAAGATAAAGTAAATGCAAATAATAAAAAAAACAACGAATAAAATTACGAAAACCTAATTTGTGCTTAAAAATAAGACTTTAATATATTTGTTAAAATACTATATTATTGGTATTATAGGGCAAAATAAATTGTTTATTTAAAAAGTTTAGTAAAATAAATAAAAGAAAGTAAACTAGCAAATAAATGTAAGAAATGTGATATTGATATAGAATTGTCAGTAATTGAATGTATTCCGTTCGAATAATTAATGTTTTAATTTAAAATGTAGTATGCAGCAAGGCCATTTAATAAAAATTAATGGAAATATTTTTATGAGAAAAATTAATAGTTTTAAACTATGTGTATTGATTGTGAATTGGCAAATAAGAAAAAAACTATTAATAAAAAACAAATTTAAAACAATTATCTTAAATTAAAAATTGAAGATTAGGATAAGGTACCAAAATATTTAAAAGCAATTTTATTGAAATGGAAATTAATCGCTAGATCGAAAATTCTATTAAATAAAAACGAAAACAAAAACAGAAAATATAACTTAAAATATAATACAAATAATATAAAGAAAAATATCATTTAAAACATTAATAACAATAATTATACTAGTAGTAATTATTTGTATTAGAAATAAACTCCGAAACCAATATAAAACTACAAATAAATTAATATTTCTTGATTTTTTAAATTTAATATTCATATAAAAATATTTGGTGAGAGAAGAGTATATATTTTCATAAAATATAATTAATTTATAAAAATATATATAAATATATATATATATATATATATATATATATATTATATATATATATAAAGATACATATATTTATTTATATTTTTATATATCTTTGTAAATAATGTAAGATAAATTATATATGTTATTTTAGTTAATATAACTATTTTAAAATTTGTTTATTTTAATAAAAGATAATATTTAATAGAATGTAATATAAAAATAATTATTATTTTTAGTATGGTCTTTATTATATATATTTGCTGTATTTTTTGTTATAAAAATCAAATCTAAAAAAAGTGCAATAATCCATATTCTCCCCTTTTTGTATTTATTGAGATTTTTTGTTTAAAAAAATATATGTTTAATTTTTAAATGAATAAATTATATTTGAAAATAAAAAGTGTTATATTTATTATAATCTTAAATTGCTAAATTTATTATTTTAATATTTTCTTTAAGTAAATTTTATTCTTAAATATAATTAATATTCTTTTACAATATAAAATAATAAAATTATTATGGCTTTATTTATTATTTAATAATGATCATATTTAAAATAAAATTTTATTAAGTTAATATTATAAAAATTAATTTTTTATATTTCTTAATTATTCATTTTATTTTTTAATTGATAAACAAAGTTTTGAATTTTGTTTAAAATTTTGATAATGCTTATAAAGAATAATTATTTAAATTAAATAAACCTGCTAAAATTTTTAATATGATATTGCTTTAAGATTATTAATAAATAAGTAATAATTATTAATTTTTAATTAAATATTGTTTATTTATAAAAATTTAAAATTATATAAAAAAAGAAACAAATATTAATATTTAATGCTATTTAAAAAAATAAAAAAAAAAAAATTAATAAATAAATAAGTAAATTGATATTTTATATTTTATTAATACTCAATTTTTATTGTACTTAAAATTATTAGATTTTTTTGTGTAAGTAGAAATAATTTTTTTTTTACTTACAGAAGATTAGTTATCTCTCGCTTGTTATTTTTCTTTTTTTTTAATAAAATTAAAATTTCGAATATTATATTTAGGCTTGCTATTACTAATGCCTTTTTTAAATTATTCTTTAAGTTTACCAATGTATCCGCCTTCCTTTGATTTTGGTTCTTATTAAGGGTTTCTAGTATCTTTAGGTTTTCCAATATCTTTAGGTTTACCATCGTCTTTAGGTTTTCCAGTATCTAAAGGTTTTCCAGTATCTAAAGGTTTTCCAATATCTAAAGGTCTTCCAGTATCTAAAGGTTTTCCAGTATCTAAAGGTTTACCATCGTCTTTAGGTTTACCATCGTCTTTAGGTTTTCCAGTATCTTTAGGTTTACCATCATCTTTAGGTTTTCCAGTATCTTTAGGTATTCCAGTATCTTTAGGTTTACCATCATCTTTAGGCTTGCCATCATCTTTAGGCTTGCCATCATCTTTAGGTTTACCAGTATCTTTAGGTTTTCCAGTATCTTTAGGTTTACCATCATCTTTAGGTTTACCATCATCTTTAGGCTTTCCATCATCTTTAGGCTTGCCATCATCTTTAGGTTTACCATCATCTTTAGGTTTACCATCATCTTTAGGCTTGCCATCATCTTTAGGTTTACCATCATCTTTAGGTTTACCATCATCTTTAGGCTTGCCATCATCTTTAGGCTTTCCATCATCTTTAGGTTTACCATCATCTTTAGGTTTGCCATCATCTTTAGGCTTGCCATCATCTTTAGGTTTACCAGTATCTTTAGGTTTTCCAGTATCTTTAGGCTTGCCATCATCTTTAGGTTTACCATCATCTTTAGGTTTACCATTATCTTTAGGCTTGCCATCATCTTTAGGCTTGCCATCATCTTTAGGTTTTCCATTATCTTTAGGTTTACCATTATCTTTAGGTTTACCATCATCTTTAGGCTTGCCATCATCTTTAGGCTTGCCATCATCTTTAGGTTTACCATCATCTTTAGGTTTACCATCATCTTTAGGCTTGCCATCATCTTTAGGTTTTCCAGTATCTTTAGGCTTACCATCATCTTTAGGCTTGCCATCATCTTTAGGTTTGCCATCATCTTTAGGTTTGCCATCATCTTTAGGTTTACCATTATCTTTAGGTTTTCCAGTATCTTTAGGCTTGCCATCATCTTTAGGTTTACCATCATCTTTAGGCTTGCCATCATCTTTAGGCTTGCCATCATCTTTAGGTTTACCATCATCTTTAGGTTTACCAGTATCTTTAGGTTTTCCAGTATCTTTAGGCTTGCCATCATCTTTAGGTTTACCATCATCTTTAGGCTTGCCATCATCTTTAGGCTTGCCATCATCTTTAGGTTTACCATCATCTTTAGGTTTACCATCGTCTTTAGGCTTGCCATCATCTTTAGGTTTTCCAGTATCTTTAGGTTTTCCAGTATCTTTAGGTTTACCATCATCTTTAGGTTTACCATCATCTTTAGGCTTACCAGTATCTTTAGGCTTGCCAGCATCTTTAGGTTTACCATCGTCTTTAGGTTTACCATCGTCTTTAGGTTTACCAGTATCTTTAGGCTTGCCATCATCTTTAGGCTTACCAGTATCTTTAGGCTTGCCATCATCTTTAGGTTTACCATCATCTTTAGGTTTACCATCATCTTTAGGCTTGTCTTTTGGAATATCTTGATTTTTTAATGTTTTCATCCAGCATGTATAATACTATATATATTTAATAAAAAATTATTATAAATTTTACATTTGATTCCCATCCTTTTTAATGTAACTTATTTATTTCTTATTCTAGACCTTAAAGATTATTATCTTATGATTTTTAAATAAAGTTAGCAATTTCTTTGTCATGGTCCATATTTTCATTAGCCCAAATTGTTTATTTTTCCTAATTAAAAACATTCAAGCATTTCAATGCATCAAAATTATGTTTTTATTTTTCGAATTTACTTGTATTTTTAAAAGGATTGGCTTCATATTTTTTAATTTCATTATCTAATTCTTCAAATGATTATAAAGAACATTTCCAATAATCTATTTATTTTAAAAAATTATAAAAATAAAATATATTTTTTTAAAAATATAATTAATTATATTTTATTAAATTTATTTTACTTTATTTTTATAGTTCTTTATTTTTTTTTACATATTCAATAATCTAATTTATGTTTGCCTTATTATCTTTTAAGAGTTCACTTTCTAATTTACCAATTTAGCCTAAAATTATTTAATTACTACCTATCAAACAGTTACAGTCATATTCATTTAACTATTCTTCTAACCATCTATATTTTTAGTTTTTAATAATTTATTTATTAGGTTCTACTTTGAAAGATTCCAATTCAGGCTAGCATTTTTTCAATGAAGAAATAACACAATCAAAGTATTTTTTATTTTAAGAAAAGCAACTTAAATATCTAAAAGAAAATAAAATAAATATAAGAAAATATATTTATTACTGTAATAATTCTTTTGATGATTTCAATTATTATATTTCTTTTATAGTTTAAGCTCTTAAATAAAACTCAAGAGTATCTAACTTTTCAGAACAATTATTTTAGCTATTCTAATCAGATATACATGAGAAATTTATTGGTTTATTATTATTATTTTCTTTTTTATTAATTATAAAATTTTCTTAATGAGATTATCTCTTCTTTATAAGGTTCTTTAGCTTTTTAGTTAAAAAGCCGCTATTTGATGAGGCATTTTTAGCGTTATATTGGTTTAAAAAGAGAGTTAAAATAATAAAAATTGTTAAAAATCTACTTTAGTAGTATTTAGTAAGCATTTATTTTATTTTATTTTATTTTTCAATAAATAAATATTTTATTTATTTTATATAATTTAACTTTTTATTTAAATAAAGTATATATTGTTTTTATTTTTTAAAATATTTTTTTAAAGGTTTTATAATATTTTTTTTTATATAGTTATAGAATAATTAAAAACATTAATAATAAATATATTATTATTTAATATATATTTCATAAATTTTTGTTTAAAAATAATTTTGTTTATATATAAATATTTTTATATTTAATTTTATAATTCACTTTCATTTTCAGTATTTAAAATTTTATTGATAAATTTTTTAAGTATTTTTATTATCACTATTTAAATTTTATATTTTATTATTTACATATATAACTAAAAAATGATATAATAATCATCTTATATGAATTAAGTTAAAAAATGATATTTAATATTATTTAATGTACATTTCTTAAAATAATAAATAATATATAATTAGAATACCAAAAAAAGTATCTTATCAGAACTTCTAGATAAAACTGATAAAGCATAAAGCGATTGTGAAGTAATAATAAAAAATAAAATACAATAAAAGCGAAATAATTTTTGAATAAAAATAATAGTAAATATATAACTAATTTTAAAAAATTAAAGAGTTTAATATGTTTGTTAATGTTTATTTGAAAGGTTTAACACAGGAATAATTATAAAATGTATAATTTAATTTATACCAAATTTCTTTTTAAAAAAATAAATAATAATAATAAAGCTATGTAGTAATTTTGAATATAAATAATATAGTAAAGGTGCAATTATATTCAAATAAGGAGATCTTCATGATAATAAATTATATTTTATATTATCAGGAAGTGTAATAATATTTATTGATAAAGATTTACATGAAGAAAACTAATACAATACTTAATTATTTAATTTCTAAAAGAAAATAAATTATTAAAATAAACTTGAAACTAATGAAAACTAAAATCAAGAATAAAATTAAATAAAAATAAAGGACTAAAGAAAGCCTATTGAATTAAATAAACTTTCATTATAAATTTTAATTAAACTAAGAAGTACTTAAAAATAAAAATAATTTTAATATTTCATTTAATTTAATAGCTATAAGTAAAAAAGTTTAAAAAATTTATAAATAAAAGCAAAACTAAAGTTAACTTCTAATAACATAAGAAGAAAAAAATAGCCTAAAAAAATTATTCGGTACTACTACTAGATTATATGGAAAAGGGAAATATTTTGGTGAAAAAGCTCTTCTTAATAATACTAGAAGAACAGCAACTATAGTTGTAGATTAACATATGTCAGAAATCCTTAGTTTAGAAAAAAAACATTTCTCTACTTTTTAAGAAGAATTAAGAGATGCTTAATAAATTCGAAAACAAACGCTTCTTAAATTGTTTCCTGAACTAAATTATTTATCTATTTAAAAATTAGATTATTTCTTATATTTTTTTGACGTAATTTTTTACAAATATATCATTATATAATTTATAAAATATTTATTTTATTTAAATATAGATAGAAACATATAAGAAAGGTGTTTAAATATATAAAGAAGATAAGAAAGATGATAAAATATATATAATATAAGAAGGAGAAATATAGTTAAATAAAAAAATAATAATATAAGGCTAATAAAATTCGATATTAAAAACAAAAGAAGAAACAATAAAAGTATCAATAATACGTAAAAAATAAAAATTAAAATAAATAAATAAATAAAAAGCAAAAAATGAAGTTTTTGGGGAAGAAATACTTTTTAATAATGACGGAAAATATGCATATAATTGTATTACGATTTCTTAATAGGTAATTGTTTTGGTTGTTACTAAAAGTTATTTAGAAAGCAATATGAATTCGTAAATAAAAAAGTGCATGCTTTAATAATATCTAATAAAAGAATATGAAAGAAATAAATTTATTTAAAATCGAATATAAGACTTAAAACAAGAATTTAATAAATAATTATAAATTTAAGAATTTTAAATAAATTAATAATAATTTTAGAGCATGAGTAAAAGGAAAAGGAATAATAGCAAAAGTAATGAAAATATTAGTAAATAATAATTTTAGTTAGAAAATATAATTTTAAGTTAATCTTAATGTTTTAAAACTTCTAATATTTACAATGAATATTAGCTTAAAGATTAAAGAATATAAATTACTTATAAAAATATTGAAGAATATAAATATGATTTTGGAAAAAGTTCAATGACAAAATATAAATAAAAAGTAATTTTTTCATTAGTTTTTAAATATTTTTTATAAAAAAAAAAGTAACAATAATAATTTTTGAATTTAAAAACATAATAAATTTAAGGATTTTAAGAAAAACCTAAAATTCCAACTGATAACATTTGCCAAAAGAAAAAATATGAAAAAATATATTTTATAAAAAACAAAAATAATGAATTATTGGAAAATATATAAATAAGTAATTAAGATTAAATAGAAATAGAAAAAAATAAAAAAGTTAAAGGAATAGATTTAATAATACTAAATCTGATATATATTTTAAAAAAAAATCTTAGAGTTAACAAAATTAAATATCCTTTTTAGCTACTTCCAGGATACATAGTAGAAATAAATTATAAACATAAAAAGATTATTTTTAAAATAAAAGTAAAATACCATCATTTTCTTTAGAAATAAATAAATGTAACATTAAATAGAAATTAAATCAAAGTAGTTTATAAATTCTAAAATCTCCAAGAAGTGAAATAATTTAATTAAATAAAAAATAAAAACTTCTTAATGAAAATTCATAAAAATATTATACATAATAAACAGGTAAAAGTTAAGAAACGTCTATTAAAAAAAAAAAATCTGCTTTATGTACAGGAGAATATTTTAATTTAAAATAAGACTTTGATATACTAAAAAATAATATGACAGATTATAATAGTTAATAAAATGATGAATGGATATTATAAATTTTAACATAAAATTAAAAAAATATATTAAAATAATAAAAGATGTAGTTTAGTAAAATTTTTTAATAAAGAAAGAAAATAAAAAATATAAAAAAATACTGAAATATATAAAAAATTAAATAAAAAAAACAATTATTATATATTTTTATTTAAAAAATAAAATATTTTTAATTAAAAAATTATAGATATTTTTTTGTAAAAAATAATTATGTTATATTTTAAATAAGAGATTTATATTATATTATATTTATTTATATAGTTAAAAAGAAAACTATTATATTTTAATTAAAATAAAAAAAAAATATATTTATATATATATATATATATATTTATATTTATTTATATTTATATATATACAAATTTAAATATTTATTAAATATTATGTTTTTATTTATTTTTTAATAAGAACATTTTATTTTTGAAATTTATTATATATTAAATAACTTTTTTTAAAAAAATTAAACAAAAAATATATTAGTATTTAATTTAAATATATTTAAAAAAAAAATGCAACTTAGATATTTTGGTAATCTAATTCCTCCTGTAGATGGTATGTAAAAAATATCATCTGTTTCATGGGCTCCAAACGGCAAACGTTTAGCAGTTTGTACAGCTGAAAGAGTAAAATATAAAATATAGATAAAAAATTATTATAAAAAATAGGTTGTACATATATTTGATGAATAAGGAAACAAAAAAGATAAATTTCCTACAAAGCCGTCTGATAAAGTAAAAAAAATAAAAATAATAAATAATTTTTTATATTAATAAAGGGGTAAAAAACTTATGTAGTTCGTCAAATAGCATTTTCTCCTGATTCAGACAAGATAGCTATAGCCCAATCCGACAACATTGTATTTATATACAAAGTCGGCAAAGAATGGGGCGATAAAAAATCTATATGTAACAAATTCCCAACGTCGTCATCTGTAACAACTTTAACTTGGCCCCATGGTCGTTAAGGAGAAGTAATATTCGGTCTAGCAGAAGGAAAAGTCCGTGCAGGTATTGTCCGAACTAATAAATCATAAGTTGTTTATAGTACTGAAAGTTATGTAGTAAGTCTTGCCAGTTCTCGAGATGGTGAAAGTGTAGTTAGTGGTCATTTGGACGGATCTATATATGCATATCATATAGAGAGTTAAACTACTCAAAAAGTAATTACTCATCATTCTATTCCATATGCTCTTGGGTGGGGCGAATAGATTGTAGCGGCTGGAAATGACGCTAAAGTCAGTTTTTATGATTTAAATGGGAATCTTTTGCAAAGGTTTGATTATAATAATGACGATAAAATTAAAGAATTTACTTTTGCGGCCTTCAACCCCGCTGGAGATACAGTTGTTTTAGGAAATTATAATAGGTTTTATATTTATAATTATAATTAGAGAAGAGGGTAATGGGAAGAAATAGGTATTAAACATATCGAAAATTACTATACAGTAACTGCTTTAGGTTGGAAAAACGATGGGTCGAAACTGGTAACAGGAAGTTTATGTGGATCAGTAGATTGGTATGATGCTTCAATGAAAAAAATAAATTATAAAGGAAAATTCGAACTTAATTATGTATCTCCTAGTTAAATAGTCATCAAGAGTCTGAATTCAGGCAAAAAATCTGTTGTAAGAAGCAATTTAGCAGGCGAAATTAATAAAATTAATATTTTTTAAGATAAATTTGCAGTTGCTAATACACATGAAACTATTATTGTAGCTGATTTGGAAACGGATAAATAGTCAGAAATACCTTGGAGGAATGACGGTAAGGAAAAATATGATTTTTCAAATCCAGGAGTGTGTATGATATATAGTGGAGGTGAATTAACTTTATTAGAATTCGGAAATAATGAGCCTTTGGGTAATTGTAGAACTGAACATATGAAAAGTAATCTTATTTCAGCTAGATTGAATTATACAGGAAATAAATAAACGAAAATGATTGCTTATCTATTGGATATGCAGACTATCTATATTCAAGATTTGAGTAATAACACTACTGTGGCTTAAATATTACATGACTCAAAAATTGATTTCATTGAACTTAATGCCCATGCAAATAAGTTGCTTTTTAGAGATAAGAAAAGATAGCTTTATTTATTTAATATTAAAAGTTAAATGAAAAATACACTTTTAAGTTATTGTAGTTATGCCTAATGGGTACCTGATTCGGAAGTCGTAGTTGCTTAAAATAGATAAAATTTGTGTGTATGGTACTCTATTGAAAATCCTGATAAAGTCACTATTTACAACATTAAAGGCGATGTAGAATCTATTGAAAGAAATTAAGGAAAAACCGAAGTTATAGTAAATGATGGGGGGAATCCAGTTGCTTATTCTTTAGACGAGTCTTTAATTGAATTTGGCTTTGCAATTGAATCAGAAGATTTAGAAAAAGCTGCGACTATTCTAGATCCTCTAGAAATGAATGCAGACACAGAAGCTAATTGGAAAACATTGGCCAAATTCGCCCTCTAATAATAGAATATAATGGTCGCAGAGCATTGTTATGCCGCTTTAGGGGATATATGTAAAGCAGCCTATTTGAGGAAAATAAATAAACTAATTCATGAGAATAAAGAGGGAATGGAGAATTATAAAGTATAAGCAAAATTAGCTATTTTAGATAAATAATTCCATAGAGCAGAAGCAATTTTACTAGATCACGATGAAGTAGAAGAAGCCATGGAAATGTACTAAGAGCTCCACAAATGGGATGAATCGATAAAAATTGCAGAAAAAAAAAATCATCCTTAGATTAAAGAATTAAAAGAAAACTATTATATGTGGCTAATTTAAACAAAATAAGAAGCCAAAGCCGCAGAAGTAAAAGAAGGAGAAGGATAACTTTTAAAAGCAATAGAATTGTATCTATAAGGAAATCTACCAGCAAAAGCAGCTTATGTAGTATTTAATTACAATACTAGTTTTCCACAAGAAGTTCTCGAAAATATCGCTAAAGCACTTTGTGGTGCAGGAATGTATGAAAGAGCAGGTGAATTTTATGAATAAATGGAATAATTTAAAAAAGCTTTAGAAATGTACATAAATGGAAATTCTTATAAAAAAGCTATTGACTTAGCTAAAAAAGTGGATGCAAAATTAGTGTAAATATTTATATATATTTATATATTTATATATGTATATATATATATTTAAATATATATATATATATTTATTAACATATATATTTTTCTATATATTTATACATAAATTCTTATATTCATATAAAAATATAAATTTATAAAGTGTTTAACTAGAAGAAAAATGTGGTGATTGGTTAGTTTCTTAAAAATAAACCGAAAACGCAGTAAATCATTACATAGAAGCCGGTTGTTACTAAAAAGCAATTGAAGCATCTATAAACTCCCGCCAATGGAGTAAATCAATATAGCTTCTTCAACACTAAAGCCCTGAAGTAGCCCGCCCTTTTTATAAATAAATCGCTAAACACTACTCAGATGTCCGCTAATATGATTTCGCTGAAAAATATTATTTAAAAGCCGGTTTACCAGTAGATGCTTTCGAAATGTATGCCAAAGCTTCCAAATGGGACCATGCTTTGAAAGTTGCTCGTGAAAATTTACCTGAAAATGAAATTGTGAATCTTTATGTAAAATAAGGTTAGAAATTTTAATAATAAGGAATGTTGAAGGAAGCAGGAAAATTATATTGCACAGTTGATGAATATGATAGGGCTATTGATATGTACTAAAAATCTGAGCAATATGAATCAGTTATTAGGATAATATCTAAATATAGACCAAAGTAATTAAAAGACGCGCATATGTAAATTGGACAAAGATTATAGAAAATAGGAAACTATAAATAAGCTGAACATCATTATATAGAAGCTGGGGCTTGGAATGTGGCTGTTGAGATGTATTAGTAAAATAAAGCTTGGGAAGATGCAGTTAGATGCTGTAAATTATATGGATCGGATAAAGAAACATGTGAATTAGCTAAATAATGGGCTGAAATACTCGGACCAGATGCCGGAATGAAAATTTTATTAAAGTATAATTTAATAGACGCCTTAATTGAGTACTTGTGTGATAGAAAAGAATTCGAAGAAGCCTTTAAAATGACTTCTAAAGCCATTCATAAGAAGCCTGATGTACATTTAAAGTATGCATTTGAATTGGAAGATACTAAGAGGTACAAAGAAGCTGAAGAAAATTTCATTAAGGCAGGAAAACCAGAAGAAGCAATAAATATGTATGAGCATTTAGGTGATTTTTAGGCTGCTTTATAGGTAGCGAAGATACATTAGAAATAAAATATTGGAATGATTTTGATGAATCAGGCTAGAGTTTTTATAGAAAAAAGAGAATATAAAAAAGCTGAAAATTGCTTTATTTAGGCTAAAAAACCAGAACTAGCAGTCAAGATGTATAAGGATATTAATAATTTCTAAGAGGCGTTTAGAGTTGCAAAGAAAGATGCACCTCATTTAGTTTAAGAATTGAATTAATAATTTAATTAAGGAGGTTCTGGTGGATAATAAGGAGGAAATTAGGGACCTTTGTCAGGTGAAGATCTTATTAGAAGTGCAAAAGTTTCAGAAGAATGTAGAGATTATTCGAAAGCTATAGACTCTTATTTAGATGTTACTGTTGATAATTTTGATGATTAAGAAATTATTGTATAAATAATATAATATATTAAAAATAATGTTATATTTTTATTAGGAAAAAGTATGGAATAGAGCAATTTAATTAGCTTAAAATAATTGCAAAGAAAGACTGACGGAAGTTGTAAAAATTGTCGCTAAGAGATTAAGAGATTTAGGAAAGTTTAAAAATGCTGCAAATCTTTATGAAAATTACAGTATGTTTAAAGAAGCTGTGGCTTGTCATGTAGAATCTAAAAACTATAATAGAGCTAAAGAGTGTGCTTAATAAGTTAATAATTAAGAGGTAATTTTTTTTTTTATAAATATATAATATTATTATTTGCTTTTTAAAAAAAAAAAAAAAAACAATAAAGCTTCGTACTTAAATGCTTGAATATATCGAATAAAGTGAAATGTAATATTTAGAATAAGAAGGAAAAGGAGAAGATTTCATTTAAAAAGGAAAAGTTGAATAAGGTTTAGATATGATTGTTTAAAAAGGAGGTAAATATATTTTGATATATATATATATATATATATATATATAAATATTTTTCAAAAAAGATTGGAAATAAGCATTGGATAGAGCTGCTAATGCCGGAGGTGAAATATTAGCTAAATATTTAAGAAGGTATGCTAAGTTTACAATGGAAAAAGGTTCTTTTGGTGAAACTATAGAAGCTTATTCTTAATACGGAATGTAATTAATACCTGAAAATTATAAAATATACAAAACTTTGGCTTTGGAAATATTCGTAGAATGTGATTCTAAAGAAATATAAAATTTACGTTCTTCCCTATATAACTTTTACAGATTATTATAAGGTGCTAAAGAAGAAAATTCAGCTGCTGGAAAATAATTCCATAAATATTTAATGGTGGCCCATTTATTGAACTTAAAATCACAATATGAGAAGAAAAATATGTCTAAATTACATCAAAAATTAAGTGTTTGTTTATTAAGATATTGCGAATTAGTCAGAATAGACAAACTTTTTTATGAGGCAGGAGTGTCATGTTAAAAATAAGTAATATTATATTATTTTATTAATATATATATATATATAAACAAAATAGAATTAATTAACATATGCATTTGTTATATTGAATAGATATTTAGATATATATGAAGCTATTTAAGACCCTGATGGAAATGATATGGGAGATAATTCTGGATTTTTAAATACTGATATTCCTTCTCCTTATGATGTTCCTTTGCCTGAAAAAAATATAGTTGATTAATAAAAAATTGAGGCTATTAGAAATTGGGTTTTAGAAATTAGCTATAATTAAAAGGTTGAGAAAGATTTCCCTCTTAGATAATGTGAAAGCTGCAAAAACTAAATTTATGAATGTTGTGCTACTTGTCCGAAATGTAAAAATGAAAGTGATATATGTGTACTTACTGGTATGCCGTTGCTTAAAGGTACTTTTACAAATTGTAGAAGTTGTGGAAAAGGAGGACTTAAAGAATATTGGAATATTTATTTGTAAAACTTTGCTAATTGTCCTTGGTGTAATAATCCACCTAATTGATTAGCAATTTAAACATATATTTATTATTGATTTTTTATGGTAATTTTTAGTTTAGGTTATCATAAGATTTATTAAAATTATTTTATTTGAAAATTATTATTATATTTAATATATATTTTTCATTTAAAAATAGGATATTTAATTATTAATTAATTTTTTTATCTTATTTTAAAAAAATTTAATATTAATTTTTATTTTTTAATTTTATTAACGTATTTTCAAATACAAATAAAGAGTTTTTTTAAAACAAACTCTTGTTTTTATAAAAAAAAGAATATTTTCAAAATATTTAATTTTTACTACATCATTTAATTTAAACAAAATAAATATAAAATAGATTAAAAAAAAATATTCAAATAAAAAAAAGGAATAAAAATTAATTAGAATTTAACAGCTTCCAAATAAAAAGTAAAAAAAAAAATGAAAAACCAAAAAGCCGTAAATTCAGAAAGCCGGGCATAATTAAAACAATAATTTACAAACAAATAATTACCATCTGCTGGCTATTTTAATAATTTTTTTTAACAAAAAAGTTAAAAAACCTCTAATTTTCAAATAAAGCCAGCTTCCTCCGAACGAAAAATTCGCCTAAAAAAGGACTTAATAAAGCTAAGTATGAGCAGTTTTAGAATCAGGACTTAATAAAGTAACGCTTAGCAGCACAACTTATATTACTTTAAAAAAGGTGCTTACAATAACAGTCGTTAAGAAAATCTTTTATTAACAAAATACAATTCTATAAATAACTAAAAATAAGGATATAACCAAAGTGTATCTCCTCAAACTACCAAAATAGGAAATTAAATTACTAATAATAATAAAAAACCTCCTATTGTATAATATAATAAACAAAATATGTTAAAATGTAACAATTATACCAATGAAAATGAACACATAAATAAATAATAATAATCTTCACCAAAAATAGCTAACACATTAAGAATCAGATCATATAACGAAATTTAACGAATAGAAGATTTCTTAGTCGACCAAAAATAAAAAATAGAAACATAAAAAAACTCTAAATAATATTCCTTCGAATTTCCCTGAAAGTAGCAACGAAAGTACCACAAATTCCTAAACTTGTATAACTTCATCCCTTAACTACATCGAAAATATGATAAATGATATCGAGATTTAACGAAAAGATAACAAAATTTTCGAAAAAATAATCAAAGATGAAAAGAAAAAAGAAGAGCTTAAAAATAAATAAACAACTTAAAATAACAAAAATTTTGAAAATACAAAAAAATCCCAAAAACAAACTGAACTCTTATCTGAAGAAATTGAAGACGAAAACTCAAAAGAATGTGAAATTACAATAGAAAAAAACTAACAAGATTTCCGAAATTCATTAAAAAATAAATTTTCAAAAAAACAATATGAACAAATCACAATAAATTTCGAAAACGAAGAAATTTATCTCACAGATTGTTGTTTATTCGAAACTTAATTAAATACATTAAAAATACTAACTCTTAATTTTGCTAGTGGACAATATTTTAACGAAGAAAATACACTCTCAGCTTTAAAATATATTAAAATGAGGTATTTAGAAAAACTAACCCTTCATTTTGGGAAAAGTAAACATCAAAAATAAGTCATAAATTTTTGTTTATTTTATCTCTCATATATTCCTTATGTTGAACTTATATTTAATTAAACAGAAAAAATTGTATATTAAAAGGAAAATAAATATATAACTATTGATTATTCCAATTTTCCATCTTTTGAACTTAAAGATATTGAAAAAATAAGCAAAAATCTTAAAGAATATTAAGTTTAAAATTTCCATCTTTTACTAAATGAAAATTTACATTTAGCTTAAAATAATCTTCTTTTAAAATAATTAGGACAATCCCTCTCTGAACTTACAGAAATTAAAATTTCCTTTAAAAATTCTCATCTTTCTCACGTCGATTTGCAGTTCTTTTTAGAGGGTCTTATAGGTGAAACCGGAAATAATTCAATTGAATAATTTGAACTTAATTTTGAAGGAAACAAATAAATAAGTGAATATTTCTTCGACATTTTTAAACTCAAAAATTTCTTAAAATTACAAAAACTAACCCTTATATTAGACAAGGAAAACCATATATTGAAACAATATGAATAATATAACGTTTTTCATTTCATATAGTACCTAAAGCACATAAAATAGTTAGAAATATATACCAATTTCAACAAAAAGATATACGAACACATATTAGAATACAATAAAATAAGCGTATGCATCTAAAAATGTGATATTTCTCCTTTCCAGTTAGTCGATATATAAAGTGCATTGAACTCCTATCCGCATATAATTGACTTATCTTTAGATTTTAGTAGTAATTATAAACTCTTATATAGAGATATTTACTGTTTTTTGAATGAATTGAATTGCATTTCTAAGGTAAAAAGGCTTTCTTTAAATTTATAAAATTGTAATATATCTGAAGTTGAGATAATTAGTATATATTTGAGAGTTTTTCATACTGTTAATTTAGAAGTTAAGTTTGATAATAATATTAATAATTTGGTAAATATTTCTTCATAAAAGTAATTTAGTATCAATCTGCTTGGAGATACAAACCCTAATGATAAAGATGTATATTTTTTAAAATTAAATAATATTTTTGAATGCTTGAATAATTAAAATAAACTTTTTTTTAATTATGAAAGCATTAAAATAAAATTGTATTATAATTATAATCTTAATTTTTAACTTTTTGAAAAATTTTTTGCCCCTTTCATTTCTAAATAGTAAAATTTACAATATTTAGAAATTGATTTTAATTATTGTTGTTTATAAAGCGAAGATGTGAATAAAATATCCCAAATTGTATATGAAAAATGCTCTAGTAAAATTAAAGGAATAAAACTTTATTTCATTAATAATGAATAAATAGAACTTCCTGAAATTATTTATTTAAGTAAGTCTTTTTGCCAAAAATATAAAGATCTATAAGCTTTTTATTTTATTACGGATTAATTCTAATTAGAAAAGTTTTAATAAAAAATTTGCTTTAATAATATGTTTGTTGATCCTTTTATGATTAAAATTCATTAAGTTAAAAAAAATAAAATCGAACCAAAAAAATACAACTTCTTTAAAAAAAATCACATATTTAATCATCTTGAATCAAATGAAATGTAATAACCTTTGAGAACATAAAAAGTTATATTTACAAATTTTAAAAACTAAGCTTTTATTTCTGTTAATGAAAATGCCACTATTGAAAATATTTATAAAAATATTAATGAATTAATTAAAAATCACTAATTTGATTGTATATATGTATTGAACGATGTTTATAAAAAGGAAATCGAAACCTATTATAACTAAATAAAAATAAATAAGAATTGAGATTCATTTATATATATATTTAATATATCTATAAAATATATATATATATATATATATATATATATATATATATATATATATTATATTATATATAAAAAATAAATATTATTAAATTTATTTTTTATTCTGTTAAATTATTATAAATAATTTTTATATTGAATACTTTTTTCAATTTATATTATTTATATTAAAATACTTATTTTTATCAAAATTTATGTATATCAATTATAAAAATAATTTATAAATTTATTTAAGCGACTTTTTTTAAAAATTAAAATTTGAATAACCTCCTTATTTATTATACTCTATTTTCTTAATTACAGATTATTTATATTTGTTTATAAAAAATTCATTTATTAAAATATATACAATTAATCTTAAAACTATATATACTAAAACTAAATTAAAATTAAAAAAAAATTTAAAATTTTTATTTTTTGATAATAATAAAAAATTAAGTTAAAAAAAAAAATTTAATTAAAAAACTAACAAAAAAAGAGAAATATAAAAAACAAACAAAAAAAACATAAAATGTAAATCAAACAGCAAATATTAAAAAACAATTAAAATTCAAATTTTTTACAAAACTACCGTACAAATTCCCAAAACACTTAAATAACCAAATACTAATAAACCCGTGGAAGATTTCCAAATTCTTTAACGTCCCCTTTAACAAATAAATCCATACAAATAAAAAGAGCATCTGCTTCAATAACAAAATTTTAGCAAACCTTAGACAATTAACAACAATAAACAGAACAAAACTCTCGCAACATTAACAATTAATTACAAAAAAAAAGTAAAATACAACATCTAAATATTAACATTAAAGTTCCTTACAATAAAAGCAACAGCATAGCCAACAATAAATAGAAAATCATCACCATACATAATAATAGCCGCGGTCTTTTTTTTAGAAAATAACAATAATCCACATCAGTAATACTAAATAGATTCATCAAAGATATCATCAAGATCTTATGGAATCATAAAAGCATATGCTGCAAATACAAATAATGGAATTTTTAGAAATTATAATGAAGATAGAGTTTCGATTATTCTTTCCGTTTCAAAACCATCAAATAAATAAACTGAATATTGGGCAAAAACTTCTTTTTTTGCTATTTATGATGGACATGGAGGGTCTAATTGTGCAGATTATTTAAGGGATAATTTACATTTATTTGTATTTTATTTTTATATATTATAAATTTTCTATAAATACTCATATTTTTATTAAAATAAAGATTATTAAAGATGATTTTTTTCCAGAAAATCCTATAGAAGCCATTAAAAGAGGTATTTATTATGCTGAGTAAAGTTTTCTTAAAATGGCTGAAGAAACTAATGATAGATCCGGTTCTTGTGCTATTATACTTTTAATTATGGGTAAATTATTTTTATTGATAAGTTTACTATATTTAAATTACTTTTATATAAATAAATATTTATTTTTCATATATATATATTTTTTTTAGATGATATGGCTTATGTGGCTAATATTGGTGATTCTAGAGCAATTTTAAGCATGAAAAATGGATAAATAATCTCTAATTTATCACAAGATCATAAACCTGAGTTCGAAAAAGAAAGAATAGAAGCAGCAGGTGGAAATATATATTAGTAAAAAAAAAAATATAACAAAACATTTAATTTATATAATAAAAAAAAGATAAAATGTAAGCAATTATAATTGCGGATTACTTTAAGGAATGTAAATATAACCTCCTTGTAGAGTTTTTCCAGGAAAATTATCAGTTTCAAGAACAATAGGTGATATATAAGCCAAAAATGTTCTTTTAGGAGGAAATCCAAACGTAATAATAAGCAATCCAGATATAAAGCAATTAAAAATTACAAATGAGCATGATTTTATATTATTAGGATGTAAATATAAAAAAAATATATACAAAAATAAAAAAACTATAAAAAAGGCGATGGAATATTCGATAGAATAAATAGTCAAAATGTTGCTAATATATTCTGGAATTCTATAAATGAATAAAAACTAGAACCTGACTTTCATAAATAATGTGGAAAATGTATAGAATAAGTTATGATTGAAAGTTTTGACAGAAAAAGTTTTGATAATATAACTTTGGTGGCAATATCATTTGAAAACCTTAATAATTATTTTAATTAATTATAATAAATATAGCAATAATAATAATAACTATAAATAAAAAGCTAGATTAACATTAATAATCATAATTTTAATAATTATTAATAATATTAAAGCTTACCTTAAAAAAGTAGTGATAATAAAGTTTAATAAAAAATAATAATTTAACATTAAATACACCTTAGAATAATGTTTAAAAATCTTCTATAAATTTTGCTCCTTCAAGTAGTAGTTCTAAAAGTCTTTTACAAGGAAGTTAAAAATATAATTAAAACTAATAATAACATATTTATGGTAAATAATATTAGATATTGTAATAATAAATTTAATAAAAATAATTAATCTAAATTAAAAATAAAAAATATGATAATTTATCAAATAATTTTTAAAATTTTTAAAGTAAAAAATAATATATATTATATATTAGTTAAAATATTTATATTAATTATATATATATATATATTTATATTTTATTTATTTTATATTATATTTATATTGCATTTATATTATAATATTATTTATTATATTTAGTAACAAATTATTCATATTATATTAAATTTAAAATATATTTTAAAAACAACTTATTAATTTTATAATATTACATTATTCATATATTTATTCTTATAGAAAATAATCAAGGATATAATATAAAATTAATCAATTCTTAGAATATTAATTTTTATATTTTTTATACCTTAATTTTTTTTTAAAAAAAAAAAAAAAAAAAAAACTAAAAAAATATTTAAATTTTTTTTGGTTTGAATTTTTTAAAAAAAATCTTATAAAATAAAAAAAAACTAGTTTTAAAAGTTATATAAACTATAAGAAAGTAAATAAGAAGTAAATTATTCAATTTAATTGACTATAAAATATAAATGACTAATTTATTTGTATAAAAAATTTATAATAAACTGAAGAAGATAATATAATATAATTAAATCAAATCAAATAAAATCAAATTATATTAAATTCTAAATTAGTTTAAAAAGTTTATAATTGAATGCTTATATATTCAAAAACAATAAATTTAATCAAAGATTAATATAAAACCAAACTATTGTGATAATTATAAATATCAATTTTAACAATTTAAATAATAACAAGAAAACTCTAACTAATAGAAATTTGTAAACATAATGTAAAATAGTTAGAAAATTTTCAAATAATCTCCATGTCTATATTTATTGGAATAACTATTTCATATATTTTAACTTTTTTTAAGATTTAGTTCATAAATATTGTATAATAATATTTTTATTATTAAAGTAACGTATTTTTTTTTAAAATTAAATATTTCTTTTCTAATATTAAAGTTATTACTCCCAATACTAATTTTTGCTTTTATATTGAAATATAGTTAAATTAATTAAATTTTATGTAAAATATATATTCCTTTAATATTTTCATTCGAATTATATTTTCTCGGAAACTATTATTATATTATTATGATACTTGATTTCTTATTATCAATTTTAATAGGACTTTTTATCAATTTCAATATGGCTTTTTATTACAAAGTGGATTTTTATACCTGATTAAATTCAAATTGTTAAAAATTATTTTAGGTCAACATTATTTATACTTATTTTTTTAAAAAAAAATATAATAAAAAAAAATTATAATTTTTTTTTTTTTAAATACAGTATTGGATTGATTATATATTTATATTTTGCTTTGATTTCTTTTTAACAATAGTTTTTTTGTATTTCTGATTGGATTATTATGTTTTTTAAAAAAATAAAAATAAAAAAAGGTATTAATGTTTGAATAAATTGGAAAAGTAAACGAATATTTTTAACTTTTATAATAATACAATACAATAATCTAAACTGTTTTCTTTATTGTTTACATTAGCATATTAAATAAACTTTTGTTTAAATTATATAGCAGTTATTTAACGGAGCAAAGGGTACATGGTTTTTATCTTAAAATTATACTCTCGAAGAAGATTATTTATAAAAATATTTAGATAGAATATATTTTGCTTTTATTACAATAGTAACAGTTGTTTATGGAGATATAAGGCTTAAAACTTAATATGAAAATTATTACACTATTGTAATTATACTTCTTTTTAAGTATTTTTAATTAAAAAATAAATAATTCAATAATTACAGCATTTAGATATTTAATGAATACTATTAAATCTATATTTTAAAAAATATCTATAAAAGAAGTTAATTATAAGTGTAAATATATATATATATATATATATATATTTGCCTAATTTTTTATTTATATTTTATGATTTATCCTAAAAAATAATAAAAGAACTATAATATACAAAAACCTAATATATGAATAAAAATATATAAAAAAAAAAAATTATATTAAAGTCATAAAAAATTTAGAATAAGAAAATATAATCGGAATTATAAGGAAATCAATAAGGAGAAAAATAAATATTAAAAACTTTTAATTTGGTTTTTAAAAAAGGAAGTTAATTAAGACTATTATTTTTCCATACTTTTAAAATATAAGTTATTTAATTAAAATTTTAGTATGTAAATCCGATAAATAATTGTCATTAATATAAAAGAGTTAATATTATCTTTTAGTGAATAAATATATTCTTATAAATAATAAAATATGTTTTTTAGTAAATGGAGAAATAGAGCTTTGTCTATAAGTAATGAACGTAACAAAATCCAATGAGAATTTACACTAATACTAATACTTTAGGCCTAATTTATAATCTGTTTTAGAAATGATTTTCTTTCATAAAATAAATTAATTAATTAATTAATTAATTAATTAATTTATAATGCGAAGATACCTTTAAATTTTTGTAAGATGAATAGATTAAATAATAAGCTTTTATTTCTTAATTGAAATTCAGAAAAATCTCCAAATACTAGTATAGAATTATTTTGAACGAAAAAACGCAAATAAACAAAATCTCAAAGAATATTTTTTTATAAGTATAAAAAAAGTTTAAATTAATAAAAACTTTTAGCTTTTCTTTGGATGATAAATTAAGTAGTATTTAAGAAAAAAATAGATAAGAAAGGTTGATTCATCAACTAAATATAACTCAGTATAAAAAACTTAATTATAGAAATAGTTAAAAAAAGACTTTTAAAATTATTATTAAAATAGTTTTAGCAATAATATATTTTCTTATTAGGAATTCAAGTTTAATAAATATAATATATATAATTCATGTTTTAATAAAAGTAAGGAAGTTTGTTACTTATTATACTTTTAAAAATTAAAAAGTTGTTTTGAAGAGGATAAAGTTTTATTTTAATAAAAAAGTATTTGGAAATAAAAATAATATAAAATAAAGAAAAATGAAGAAAATATCTAAAATAAATATAAAAATAAAAAGTATAAAATAATTTATTTATTTAATATAAAAAAAAAATATATATATATTTTTTTATTTATATGTCTTTAAATAAATATAAATAAAAAATAAAAATATTTTTTAAAATTTCTTTGTATAAATATATAATATATATAATATAATTATATTTTATTTAAAAATACAAAATAAAATATATTTTTATATCAATCTTTCTTTAATATTTTTCTTGTTAAATTAGGAAATTTCTTTTATTTTTATTTTAATTAACTTGCTTTTCTTTTTTTTAAATTTTATAATATTTTCTTTTATTATGCTTCTAAAGGATTTGTAATAAACTCAGTTTTTTTCTACTCTTTTCTTTCTTGTTTTATATTTTCAATTTTCGATTTAATTCTTTAATAAATCTAAAAGAATTTATTTAATTCAACAAATTTTTTAAATTCTTCTATAGCCTAAATAAAATAAATATATAAATAATTGTATATATATATATTATAGAAAAAAATATAATTAAATATAAATATGTATAAATATATATAAATATATATAAATAAATATAAAAATTAAAAAATATATATATATTTATATTTATATAATTATATATATTTATATTTTTATTTTATAATTATCTTTTTTACCAATTCAGCTTTTTCAATTATTTCATTGCTATAAATTTTATTATTAATATCTTATGTTTTTACTTTAATAATAATTTCAATAAGAATATCAAGAAATCTTTCATTATTACAAAAATATTATTTTAGTTCTTTTTTCTCATTTAACTATTAACCAAAGAAATTTATTAATTCAACAATATTTTCAATTTATGTTTTATTATAATAAGCTTTAGCCTAAAAAAATTAATAAAATCAAATAAAACATAATAAAATAAATATTATTACATATGCTTTTAAGAAAATCTTAAATATATTTTCGAACATACAATCATTAAAATTTTATTCAAATTTATAAAAGAATTCAAAAGCAAAAATGAAGAAATTATGACTAATTTAAGTATTCTAAATGACTACATTATTTTTAAGTTTCGAAAAGTACAAAAACTTTAATAATTTCGGCAATAAACTCTACATATTCTCTTTGTTTTCCAAAAATATACGCTTACAAATCTCTTCATTATCCTTTACAGCCTGTATAATACAACCAATAGTCAAATTAGATGTAATTTAATTTGGGAAATTAACAAATTAAAGTAAAGAGCAAATAATTAATTTTTTATCCCCATTATCCGCAAAAATAATATTATTTTTATTAATTTAATTTTCCTTAACAAAATAAACATAAACCTCTAAAAACTCAATAGCTGAATTTAATAAAGTATCATTTTTAAGTTCTATTTCTTACTCATTTTACTCGTAATCATTTTCCTCTTACATTAGTAAGTCTTTAAATTCTTGATTGTTTTTGATTATTTCTTTCCTTTCTTTTTTCTATTTCATGATTTCCCAGAAAATGTTAATTCTTTCGACTCTGCTTTCGAAGACTAGAGTAATATTTTTCTAAATTTCCTTAAAAACTTAACTATGTTCACAAAAATACTTCCACTTCTAAAATTTCAAAAAAAGCTTTAAACCAGAAAACCCACTTTCTTAAATTTTAGGATTTTCATGTAAAGAAATCCATTATATACAATTCTATGTCAAATGAATTATTTATTAATCCGAAAGCCTAGCAATTAATGCCTATAAATGTTAATTAATAATATTCTTTAAATTTTCGTTTCCCTATTCTTTTATTAAATTAACCAAATAATTCACAATAAGAATCTCTCCGAAAAACTAAATAATATTTTCAGGGAAATTTTTAATAATAATCATTAAAACCTCAAAAACAACCATCTTCCCTTAATCATATGAATATTCACTATTTTTAATTAAGAAATTGATTTCACTCTACATTAATTTATCACTAATAGGATAATTAATAAGAAAACTCAAAAAAATCTACTTACAAATATTCTATATATTTCCCGCGTATGACTAAATCATCATTTCCCTCACTTTTTCATCTACTAAATCATAAACTTCTGTAAAAACCCTTTTTTAATCTATAATAGATTTTAAAAGGAGTAAAGGATCAGGACAAAAATCCGATAAATCCAATAGTTATTTAATATAAACTAATAACGCTTTATATTGAGAGTTTTTAAGAATATTTGGGAATTTATTCACTATTTCAGTCATTATTTTGAATGTTTCGCCTATCATTTCTTAGTCTGTATTTGTGAGTTTTTCCATTATTTAAAGGACAGAAAAAACCGTCGCTTTTCGGATGTTTTTCGCCTCGTTTCTAGAAAGCACGTTTCGGAGGATTTTTAAAGAAGTTATTATCATATTATTGTCAGTCGATTTTAAACATTCGACGATTATTTTTAACAATTACTAAAATTATTACTCGTTTTCGATCTTTTCTGGAGCAAAAATGTTACTTTTTATGCCTATAATGCACATTTTTAACCCAAAAGTTGATAGTGTATAGCCTATTCTTACATCACTTCGCTTTTTATCATCCTATATGTGCTTAAATATAGATTTATTTTGAGCTGTAGTTTCTAGTATTTCATATTTCTTGGCTAAATTAAATACTTTTTTATCTTTTGTTTCAATTTCGTCTTTAATTGTGGTATCAAGAAGTCTTTCTTTGACTTTTGTTTAAGCTATTAATTGTAAAGAATCTCTAATTAAAGAATAGCTTATAGGTATTAAATGCTCATGTTTCATACTCGGATTTTTGGAAAAACCATCAAGAATATAATTAAATATTTAATCGAATTTTCCTTAATTTTTAGCTCCATCTAAGTTCTATATCAATTATTCTCTAATAAAGGAAATAAAACCTATTATATTTCTAAAATCACACCATTTAGCTAATAATTAAAAAGTATCGTTAGCCTAAAAAAATAAAGTACATTAATATATAATTATTATATATTTATATTAATTTTTAAAAATAACATAATATTAAAACAATTACTAAATATAAAATATTAACATTATTTAGGCAATATTAAATATTTGAAAAAAAAATAAACAAAAAATTATAATATATATATAGATATTGATAAAAAATATATATTTATATAAAAATAAATATATTAAAAAATATATATATATATATATATATATAAATATATATATATATATATATATATATATATATATATATTTATTTTAAATACTTTGTTTTTCTTTTATTCTGGTATTTTTGTAAACTAAAGATTCTTTTCTTCATTCATCGATCCGAATATTTCATCTATTAAAAGAGGGAAAATATCCGCATGACAATAATCTAAACATCCGATTGGAGGTTTTTCAGAATCTATTTGTTTAACTAAATTATAGATAGTAAAGTTAAGAATATGGTTTTCCCAACCTTTATTAAGAAAAAATTTAAGTTCTTTAATAAGATAATGTAAAAAATAAGGTCCTGTGATTTTTACTATTTAAAGTAATACTTTTCTTGTAAAATCTCTTTCTTCATTATCCTTTGTTTTTAAGTTTTTGACTACTTTACTAATAATTTTTGGAAATTCGACTGAAAAGATTTCCTTTGGGAATCTTATTAATAATTTAACTAATCCAATAGTCATGAAAATTCTAACTTTTTCATCTTATTTGTTTTTCGCTTTTTATTCTAATTTTTATTTCGCTAGTTTATTATAAACTTCATTTTAATGATCAAATAAAAGCTATTTTATAGGTAAAAATACTTGTACTCTTAAAAAATTATAATAACTTCGTGTTTCTTAGTCTATTTGGTTATTATTATTTTCTATTTCCATTTAATTTTCAATATTTTTTAACATAAATTTCTCTCTTTAGACATTATGTACCCAATTCGCCTCTTCATTAATATCTTCTTTATTATTTTAATATAATTCCTTATTTTTTCAGCATTCTCATTTTCTAAATCAAAATCTTTGTTTGGATTAATAAATTTCCTATTTTTATCCACAAGTTCAGCCAAAAGAGTCTTTTGATTAGAATCTTAATTTACTTAATTCATTTAGTTATTCACTTCGTCCACAATATTATATGGTAAATTTAAATTCTCCATAATTGAAACTAAGACTTTGATTGTAATTTTCTATTAAAACCCTTTGTTCGCTAAAAACTAAACATATTTTTTCAATAACTTTTTATTTTTTCCAATTGATATTTTCCCACAAGCAATACCTAATAAATTAATTGAAGCCTATAATAAGTTCTTATTAATCTCCATAAACTAATCCGTAAGTTTCATTTTGTTATTTTTTTTATACACATCCTGACATTTATGTAAAATATTCCATTCTAAAATCGGAATAATAAACATCCAGAGTGTATTTTAATCTAAGCTTTCGATATTTTTAGCCAAAAAAATTCCCAAAGCCTTTGTTCTTTTTGCAATTTAAATATGAGTAATACACTCAAAAAAGTCTTAATTTTCATCACTATGTGTTAATACTTATAAATCTTTATATAAAAGTAAATTATTTTATTAATTATTGGATGTGAATTTGACATACATTTTTAGAATTTGTAAAAGACTTCTCAAAGTTCCTTCTTCTTTGTTTTTTTTTAGTTCTTTGGAAATAAAAGGCAATATTTTTTATAGTAAAATCTTCCATACGATTTCTTTGCTTCTTTAGGGTAGATTTATGTCCTATATGAGCTCAAAAAAGGTACTAAAGGAACTATTTAAGGCTAGTTTAACACTCATTTCATTATCAGTGATTAAACTTAATAAATTCATTATATATATTTCTATATTTCTGGTTTTTTTATCATCGTATATCCATTAGGATATGTATATTGTATTTACATTATATATAGTGTCTATTAATAAATCATAATTTAATTATTATTATATAGAACGTTAATATGTAGACATATTCTAAAGAATAAGAATCATATTTTGGTCCAAAAACTCACTTTTTAAAGCTATAATACATTAAATTGTTAAAGTTTTTAAAGCCGGAGTTAATGCGTTGGGAAGAATACTAATAAAATATTCATAATAGAGTGTATTATTTTCATTTAAATTAAGGAAATTTAAACATATTTTCATTATTTATAAAAAGCAGTCCATTTTTTATGCATTTTTATTATTAAAAGTATGTTATTTTTATAATTAGTTTTCTTAAGTATCATTATTTATATCTTTAAGTTTTTTAATATTGGCGGCATCTAAGAATTTAGTGAAGTAATTTAAATATATAGAATAGTCTTTTTTTTATTAAATATAAGAAGATAAAAAGTGTATTATTAATAAAGAATCTGAGTCTATTTTTTTCTATTTATTTTTCTTAATCATTTAAGAAGGGGCTAGATTACATTCTAAATAAAGATAAATATTATTTAAAAGTTAATCATAATATTATTAATAAAAATGTTTTTTTTTTTTATCCATATCATCTTCCTCTTAGTCTATATTTTTTTCATCTTCATTAATATATAAAATATTAAAGAAAATCTTATGTAAAATCTATATTATTTTCACATTTAACTTTTCTCGGGAATATAAAGATATTAAGGTTTCAAAAATAAAAGTATTTTCTTAAAAAATATAATGGAAAGATTCATCCTCACCCCAACTTTAGAATACTTTCAAAATACAAGGCATACTAGTAACTGTAATTTCCTTTAAATTATTAATTTTTTCATTCATAATATTTAAAAAAATAGTCACGAAATCCTCCATTTCAATTGTATTTCCGAATTATTTACATATTTAACAATATCTTTCTAAAGCTTATTTTTCAAGAGTTTTAATTCTCTTTTTTATTTAAGAAGAAGAAGTTGATTTCTAATTATTATTATTATTATTATCCCCTTTTAATTATTTTTTAATTTTCGAACAAACACTAATTAAAGATAAAATATAATTAAGAATTTATTTAAGAAAAGGCTATATAAAAACACCTAATTTACTTACAATATTCTTAATATTAATATTAAATTCCTCAATTTAATTTAAATGTACATTTACTAATTCTTTTTCATTTTCCAAACATATTCTAATATTAGAATAACCAGGAATATGGTAATTCTAAAAAACAAAACTCACTAAATTTCCCATTTCATTTTCTTATAGACTCGCGAAGAATTAAAATAAAGAATTTCGTTGATTTTCCCCATGTTTTTTCGACTTTTTTTCGCTCCCTTTTTTCGAAAATAAACTTGGGTAGACTATCCCCATAATTATTGAAATTAAAACTTTTCTATGAGAATCTTCTAGAGTTTTAAATGTCAAAAGCTCCTTTTTTAATCCATCTTTTTTAACTAAAGCCTATAAATTTTTCATATATTTATGCAATTCAGTCTATTCGTACTTAAATATACAATCTAAAGCCAATTATTATAATATAGGTTTTTTTTTTCTTAACAAATCAAGGAAAATAGAGTAAAAAAGGTCTTTTATATTCTAATTTTTCAAGTCTTTTACATTCATAAACTACACAAAAGACTTCATAAAACATTCATATTTTAAATAGAGGAAATTATTTATTTTAAGTTAACTTTTTTATTGAATTTCCACAATTTCAAACTCCGAAATTTCGTTTAAATTTTGGATTTAAAAGTCGATTTTTTTATGTTCAAATGAGAAAAACTATTCAGTTAATTTTAAAAGTTCCCTTTTAGTATTTTCGTGTAAATTTTCTTTTTTAATTGAATTAAAGCTATTAAATAAATTCTAAAAAACGATTTTTACGTCAATAAAATCGCCTTCAAAGACATAAAAATCATCAAAAAGTTAAAAAAAACTGCCTTAATTTTAATATTCTAACCCCATTTACATTTCTTTGTCGTCATTTTAATATATTTTAAACATTGAATAATTATAATAAGCCAAAAGATTAATAAAAATCTTCTAAAAAACTTAATTTTAACTATCTTCACTCATATAATATGCCAAAACATCTCCTAAAACAGGCCAAAGTAATGAAAATCGAACAAATAAATAACCCAAAAGGAAATTAAAGACTGCCAAATTAATTTCCTATGAATATTTATGTGAGAAAGTTTTCAATTTAATCAATTCAATTTTAATTATTCTCTCATTTTCTAGACTTACATTTAAATTTTGAATAAAAAGAAGTGTTTTTAACACTTCTTAATCTTTTTTGGAAATAAACTAAAATTAGTTTAAAATTAATAAAGAAGAATGCCTGATTTCATTATATTTACTGTTTAAATTTCCACATAAAGAAATATAGAATTTCCTATATTTTTCCAAGCTTAATTACTAGTTCTTTTTTTGTAAATAAAACGCAAAGTTTTGTAAATAAAAAGGGTTATGTCTTTATTTTTCTGCGTATTATATCTCTATTTCTTATTATTATTCTAAATTATTATTAACTAAACCAAAAAATAACAAAATCTCGCTTTTTAATAAATCCAATTTAAATTTCTAGGCTATTTCGGAGCTTTATAGTTAGTATTTCCTATCTATTTTTTCATCTATTTAATAATAATTACCCAAAAAGCTTTCAATGGGTAAATCTTGAGTATAAGAGTCTAAATAATGTCCCTAATTATCCAAAAAAAAGTTTATTTTTTCATAAATTCTAACCAAATTTTCTATAAGTACCCCCTAGCATTACTTTATATTAAATTAGCAGATTTTAACTATCAAAAAAAGCTTTTAAAAGGCCAATTAATTGATTTTTTAGTCTTAAAAATTGACTAAATCTTCACTAAGTTTTTAAAGGAAATCACTTTTTTGCAATAATAAATTAAAAAAATCTTCTTTAAAATTTAATTATTAAAATTCATTTTTAAAACTTTTATAATGAATAAATATTCCCATAAAAATAACACTCAAATTAAATTATATTAAATTTTCATCTTATTCTTCAAAAAAAGTCCTATTTAAATTTTTAAAGGCTAAAACTAATGAATAATTATATATTTATTTCCCAAAACAAAAGACTTAGTCTATATTTTCCCTTTTTTTTTCATAAGGAAATATTAATAAACTCAAAAAACTCCAAATTTATTCAATATTCATCTTTTCAAGTAAAAAATCCTCAATTTCATCCACTAAAATTTCCCGAGGATAACTTTCTATCCCTTTTTTGAATATTTTTGCTATTAATTTAGGTAATAGGTCACTTTTTAACTCTTTTTTGATACTCTTTACCCCTATAGAGACTATATTTTATATATTTTTATCACTTAAAGGGATTAAATCAAGCATTTATTCGATTTTTTCGCAACTTTTTTCGAGTATTTTTTCCTCGTCAACCCCTTAAAGTACACTACTTAGCACAAAAATCATATCATTTAAATTAAAGCACAATTTCTAGTCCTAATCTTATATACTAAAGTGCTTATAGACACTTTCTAGGAACATTCCATAGACAGAAAGTGCATTTTCGTCTTAATTTAATTTCTAAGAAAAAAAAATTTCCAAATACTCCTTAAAATAATCCATTCCTTTATAAGTAATAAATTTCTGAATTGAAGTCAAACAAGAAAAAAAAGAGAAAGAAATGGCTACTAATAAATGCTATTTTTAACTATTTTCAAATTAAAATTCCTTTATTTTCTCAAAAATCAATGGAATATATTAAATGCGTTAGTTTTGGTTTAATTTTTTAATAATAAAAGAAAAAGATTCACTTGAAAATTAACGAATTGCCTTATTTTTATGTTAAAAAAGTATACTTATATATAATTCTAAAAATTACTTGAAATTTTTTTCATTTTCTATATATAAAAATAAAAATATATCATTATTTATATTTGTTTATTTTTTCTATAATTTTTATATAAAATTTATAGTATTTTTTTTTTTTTAATAAAAATTATAGGTTGAAAAAAAAAAAAAAAATACTTTAAATTTTAGCGAAAAAATATTTCAAAGAATAAGCTAAAACTTTATATATTTTCTATAACAAAGGAAGGTTTTATAAAGATAGTAAATTCGTTATTTTTATGAAAATTTTCTCTATAAAAACTTTAAATAGTTTCTCTTGACAATCTCTTATTAATTATTATATTAAATCAAGCATAATAGGTGTCATTAGATGATTTTTTTTAGAATTTTCTTCATTATCATCCTCACTTTGTATATTTGATATTATTTCTTCCAATATATAGCCTAAATTATGCAATATAAGAGGTAAACTTTAACAAAAAGGCTCAATTTTATTATAAAACTCCCTAAAGTAATATAATTTACACTTAGCATTCTACTATTCGAGCTCATCTTAAAAAAAAGAACCTAAATTATCATCCGTTTATGAATAAGGTTAAATTTTAATTTCTTCTATGAAATAAGAAAGGCCTACATTTATATTTTTTAATTCTGATTTTAAATTCTTAAATTTATATCGGCCTGAAATATCCACTTGGGGTCTTTTTTTGGTAATTTCTTTTCCCCTGGGACGCATTTTAGAACGAAGTTCCCAATATTCTTCGACATTTATTTTTTTTGTATTTCTTTTTGTTGGTATAAATTTTACCATTTTTATTTTTATTTTAATTATTTAATTTTATATTTATTCTTATTTTTATACTATTTTTTGTTTAATTAATAAATTATTAAAATATATATATAATTTTATATTTTTTTTTTTCATTATATTAATATTAACAAAAAATTAATGAAATATTCTTTTTAAAAAATAAAATAATATAATATAATATTTTTTAATTTATATATATATATCATAAATAAAAATCATTTGCAATATCATATTCTATTGTTGGAATAACAGAAGCTAAAAATTTCAAGAAAATTTAAATTGCCATATGAGGTTCAATAATTCCCCCATTTCCCTAAATAGTATCGACCATATGCTTTATAACTTTCGCATGTTTACAAGGGTGTAATGAAGCTTATTAAGTCCCTAAATGAGGATGTTCTTCGAATGTAACAGTTTTATTAGCATATTCATTAATTATGTCTTAAAAAATCTCTTCTTGAGTTAAAGGGTTATTATTCTCATCTACTCCTGTAATATATAAACGAGGAGTATAGTAATAAAAATCGTATACTATAGATAAATTATAATATCTTGTTTCTTAACCTGATTCTAAAATAACTAAATTATCTTTATATTTGATTTATTTATTTATTTATTTTAAAATAAAAAAATACTTTATTTTAATTATTATTCTTCTTCAATTTATTTATTTTCTACTTGTTTTTTTTCTTATTAAATTTATTCATTTATAACCCAATCATCCTCGTTATCCTTTAAATAAAAATAAAAATTATAAAAATAAAATTATAAAAGATACTAATTTTTCTTATATATTAATGTTTTCCTATAATTCGCAAATTCTTTAATTACAAGGTACTCTTTCAAGTAATAGATATTATTTATCACTAGGTAATAAATTATTCTAATATTTATCAGAAATAGCATTTTTCCATTTCCACGAAGGACAAGATTATATTAATCTATCTCCACTTTGCACAAATTCATTTACTGTCAATTAACCTTCTTAGAAAAATATAGATTCAGTAGGAGGATCTATTAATGCTGTTGTTATACCCATTCTAACATTATTTAATTTATTTTTAATATAATCCATCTTTTTTTGAAAATATATAAGTATATTATTATTTATTATTATTATAAAAAAATCAAGTATTTTAATTATAAAAAAAAAAAAGAAAAAATGATAAATATATGAAAAATATGATATTAATATAGAAATTAAATTTTTTTTTAAAAAAAAATTAAATAAAACAAATAATAAAATAATATAATGAAAAAATAAATTTGTTTATATACATATGAGGTAAATATAATAATTAAAAAATAAATAAAAAAATAAAAATAATTTTAAATAAATAAAATATAAAAATATATATATATAGAAATATATATAATATATATTTTTATATATATTTATATATATATATTTATATATATATATATTAATTCAAAATAAATTTCCTATTTCTTAAATAACATCGTAATCGTCATTATTTTCTCTATTTTAAGTATTTATTTTATTGCTTTATTCCAAACTATCATTCTATCCTGCAATACTTTTCTTTTTTTCAAAATTTTCTATTTATTCTGCACTAATTAAAGATATGCTTTGATCTATAAATTATTGAATATTTAAATAAATATAAATAAAAAAATAATGCCTTTAAATTTATATCTTTAAATAGCTTAAGTTGGTTTTAAATAATTTTATGATTAACAACAAACATCATCATTAGGCCTATTAACCATATTTTCCAATAATTTATAAGCTTAATTCAAATCATAAGCTTATTCATATTCTTTGTTGTCACCTAATTAATCCCTTGCGGCTTCTATAAACTTATCATAATTCATATTTTCTTTGTTTAAAACTTAATTTTTTTTATAACTAGAATTCTTAATATTATTATTTTTATTTTAATAATAAGTTTTTTTTTTTAATAACAAAAATAAAATAATGATACTTCAATAGTAGATAATTATTTATTATGTTATTATTATTTTTATACACTATGATTATTATTTCCAACTACAGTAGGATTTTAAGTGATAAACATAACATCGTCATTATTTTATTATAATTAATAAACGAATTTTAGTCATCAAATTCATTTTATTATTATTAAGATTATTAATCAGTAGGTTTAACAGTAATCTAAGGCATCTCTATTCCCATAAAATAATCTTTTTGTTTTTTTTAAAATCATCATTTTCAACTTTCCTTATTTAATCGAATTTAATTTTAATCTAATCTTATCATTTTTTTACTTTAAGTAATATTTTTCGACCTCTTCATTAACAACAATACCACCTATTTTTTAAAATAATATATTTATATATAAATATTTATAATTATATATATATATATATATATATAAATAATATATATATATATAAATAATTATATATATAATTTTATATATAATAATAAATACCAGTTCTTGCATAAACTTCCATTTCTAAACCTTTATGTTCTTAACTCATAGCAAACGGATTTCCTGTAATAATTAATTTTTGAAGACTTTTAAAATTCCTGGCACAGATTAAATTATGTTAATTCTCTACAATATTATATGAAAAATCAATAATTGTCAAACTCATAAAATTTCCCGCAACAAGTTTTTCTGTATGAATACCTCTTAAATTATTTCTACTTAAAGAAAGATATGATAGCTTTTTTATACTTGCCAAACAATACCAAAAACTAGACGCATAATTATTTGACTAAAATAAATTTCCGTCTAAAATTAATTCTTCCAAAAATTAAAACTGGGACATATTCTCCGGAAGTTCATTCAATTCGTTATTTTCTAATATTAATTTCCTCAACATAGGTATATACTTAAGGTTAGAAATTGATTCTTTAGTTAAATAATTAAACGAAAGGTCTAATGTATCTAAGTTATTGAATGTTTATTCTAAAGAAAGATTTATTTTCTGTATTTTGTTACAGCTTAATATTAATGTTTATAAATTAGCGAAATTAATTAAATCTTCAATTTTTATTTCGTTTTCACTTAAATCAAAATAAACCAAATTTATAAAAAAATATGTATCTTCTACATTTACTGCATTTATATTCATTTCTTTATTTTAAAAAAATAAATATTTTATTATATATATAAGTTTAAAAATATACTTGACATATTGCATTTGATTATTTCATGAGGAAGATCATTTTTTGTCACTTTTAATAGCAAAAATCCATCTAAAGTTTTTTTTGTTAATTTAGATTCGTCAATGTATATTATGGGTTTTATTTTGTATGGATTTTTTGAATGGATTACTCTTTTTTTTAATCTTAAACGCGGTAATTTTATTTAATTTAAATTTTTCTTGCTAATTGGAAAAGCTATTTATTCTCTTGTATTTTTTTTAAATTGCATTTTATCAGTTTTATATTTTTTATATATAAATATTTATTTTAAAACATTATTTGTATAATTACTAAGAAATAAAAAAATTAAAAAATAAATATAATTTATATATATATTTTATTTTATATTATTAAATAATATCATTTAAATAAGTGATCAAAACAATATACTAAAGTCTTTGCTAAAGGGTCATTTTCTAAAAATTATATATGAGCGCTTCTACCAATAACATTATCAATGGTCTTTTTAATATTAGATTAACTATATATATATATATATATATATATATATATATATAAATATATATATTTATATATATAATTTATATATATATTAATTAATAAAACATATAATTTAAAAAATACTCTTTTATTTTAAAATTAACATCGATTCTATGAATTCGATCTGTCCTTAAAGAACTTAATAAATTATCAACCATTGAATTATAAAGTCTTCCTTTTCTAAAAAACAAAAAAACATATGAATATATATTTATTAAAAAGATACGCATTAGAATCTGAAGCTTCGTCACATTTCTATATTCTTGCCGATTCAAAAGGTACATATTAATCTTAATATGAGCTTAATAGTGCTATGTTTTTAAACCAATTTAATCCTGGTTGATTAGTTAATTTATATAAAAAGGTATCTGCTAACTATTCACAATCACTCATATTTAATTATTTTAGGCATTCACATTTTCTAGTAGTTATCAAAAACCAAATACCAGCATCAATTAGTTTCGAAGAATTATACATATAACCCAAATGAGGAGAAGAAAGAGACATATAAAGATGCATTTTATCACTATATTGACTTAAAAAAGGTAAAGCAGCTCTAATAATAATTCCTCCCAAAGAATGTCCAATAAAACTAAGTTTTCCTAGAGTATCGTTTAATGTGTTTTCATTCACAAATAAAATAACCTTTTGTGTATAATATTTTATATTTATATAATATATTTATTATCTTTTTATATATTATTATAAAAATTATATACTTCATTAGCTAATCTTTTACCCATATCAGCAATATTTCCATCTGTAAATTCTTCATTTGATTTAGAAGATAAAAATACGAATTCAGGAAAAAGAATGGACAAATTATTTTTAACTAATCTCGTATCGAAGTAATTTCCTTAAAATCCATGACAAAGAACTATTAAATGTACTTTTAGGGGATTGTCTTTTATTGCATGTATATGTTTCTTTATATTTTTAACTTTGTTATAAATTTTTTGTTGAATCATTTTTTAATTATATTAAAATTAATTTTTTACTTTATTTGGATTTATATATATTTCTTCCAATAAAAAAGGTCTTTAATTAGCTTTTGGTATAATATGCATGTCTTCTAAATTAAGAGGTTCAGAATTTTGTATTTGAAATTCTAACTATTAATAAAAATAAATATATATATATATATATATATACATATATATATATTTATATATATATAAATCTATAATATCTTTATATTACTGCTTGTCTTAATTTTGCTGATGTTCCTTCGTGTTATTTTCCTGTCATTTTAACTTTTTATTGCGTAATATCGTGATAAAATTAATCTCTTACAACATTTTCCCCCCATTTTTCTTTCATTCTTTAGATATATTAAACTTTCATCATATTTACAGTTCTTCCTCCATCTATTCTTAAAATTTCAATCATTTAATTCCATAATTAAAATAAGCAACCTGATACTTTATTCATTTCTAAAAGTACACAATTTGTAAATTTTTCTATATCTTTATAGTTTTTTAAATTAAATCGTTAACTTACTTTTATTTCGTTCATTTATTATTAAGAATTATTTATACTGTTTTAAGATTAACTATTAATTCCAAAATTATTATAACTTTTAGATAAAAATACTTCTTATACAGTAATTTCTATTTAATCATTTAAACTTGCTGAATATTATAATAACTCAGGATATTATTATAATATTTAATCAATTACTTTTTTTAAAGTATAATACCCATTTCTTAATCCAATTACATAATAATTATAATAATCATTAACAATATCTTCCTTAACTAATATTTTTTGTTTTTCTAAAATATATTTATTTTAAATTTATTACATCCTTAAGTTATTTATTAAGAAACTCAATAAAACTATTTGGTTAAATAATTACTAGATTATTATTACTCAAATTCTATATATTTATATAATTATATATATATTTGTATAAAGTTAAAATATATTTACCTTTTAACTACTATTAATACTATTTTTCGAAATTAATTCAATTTAATAATCATTTAATCTAAATCTAAAGTCTTTTTTTTTAAAAAAAAAATAAAGGAAATATTAATTTAATTTTATTTATTATAATATATATTAAAAAACCTAAAAGTAATGTATGAAATGTTGCTTCAGCCTAACAATAATGATTCTAATCAAATTAAATTGGTAAATATTCATGTATTCCTTACGCACTATTATTGATCCTGCATTAAAACATACTTACTTATTTAAAAGCTGATTATTCCTTTTATTTTAATTTTTTGAAAAATTATAAATACAATATATATAATTATTCTTTAAATTAAAATCTTATTAAAATACAGAATTATTTGAAGGTTATCCCATAGAAGAAAAATCAGCGCACATCAATTCACAAACTAAATAAAAAGGCGTTTTATTATAATCAGGATATGCATCTACATCTGTTTTCCAATAACACATAACATTTCTTTTTATTTATTTTTTTTAATTTAAAATAATAATTAATATAATGCTTACAAAGGCACTGATTATTCTGCATATCTAATAGGAAATTTTTAAGTCGAAAAAGCTTAAATTTCATCTTCAATTTGTCCTTCTCCTAAATTTCTTATAATACCTTGCTTCTATATTTTTTTTTATTTAGAATAAATATATTTATGAATGCGAAATTGTATTTTTTTAACTTTTCTGTCATTATGCTATTTATTATATCTTATGGATTAAGCTCACAGTTTATCCTATGATATGGCTAAGCGTATGTAATTCTATTTTTTGAATCCACATGATACAAATAAAATCTTAAATAATATATCCCTTATTAGAATAAATCAATATTTATAAATTCATGTAGTTATAATCCGAATTCTATAGTTGCTTTATATGACATTTTATTTATTTAAGTTATTATTTATTTTTTTAAAATTGTGTAATGTAAATAATTTTATGGTATATATTTGAATTTTTATTATCAACTTAATATACAAATAAATATTTATAATAATCTTAATCTAATTAATATATTGTAATTAATTTAAAAATATATCTAATATTCAATTATATATAATAATATATAAAATTATTTATATTATTTAATATTTTTAAAATTAATTTATATATTTTTTTTATATTAATTTTTTTAATTATGTACAAATATTATATAATTTAAAATATTTTAAATAATATTGATTATTAAAAATACTCAATTAGGATATATAACTGCTTCTATATTATTTTCACTTATATTTAAAAATTATTCTTCGCCTAAATAAATTACAGTAACCTATATAAAGTATTAATTTTTTTATAATTTATAAAATTAAGAAAATTAATTATATAAATATAATAATTGAAATACATTTTTAAGTATAAAAAGAGTATTTATTTTAATATCTATTTATTATCCTTTAACATATTCAAAATATTAAATATCTTATTAATTATTTTATTTAGAAATATTATCTTAATTCTCAGGTAAGTTTTCATTTTATATATTTTCATTATTTTCATCTAAATTAAATATTTTTTTTTAAAATGATCCAACTATAGACCCACTATAATCCTTATATATAATAAAAAAAAATATGAATAAATAGTATATATATATATATATATGTAAATATATTTATATATAAATATAATTTAATATTCTTTGTATTTTTTTTTATTTAATATATTTTTTTCTTTTTTATTCTTTATTCACAAAAAAAGTTAATATCCTTTTTTCTGCTTTTATATTATTTTTTTTAAAAAAAATCTATATTAAATTAAATAAACATTCAAGAAATAATAAATTAATATTAAAATTTATTACTAATAAATTGCCTTTAATGATTTGATGCATGATTTCTACTTAAACCATAACAAGTACAAGCGAATTAATTTTTTTATTATTATAATTTCCTTATAATATTTCTTAAATATTATTATGTTTATAAACAGAATTTAAGTTTCCATTTTAATTATATTAAAAAAACTATTAATAATTAATTTTATAAAATTTCTCTAAATAAAAATGCCAAACACTGCATTAATCAACAGATATTTTTACTTATTTCTTATTTTAATATAATTAAAGGCTAAACTTAAATGAAGTATCTGCAGGTTTATTCATAAAAATAATTGATTTCTCATTTTAAAATGAGTATTATTCAATTTGATGAATATTTTTTTCTATAGTACTCAACAAAATAGATTTTTCTTAACTTTTAAAATTGCTTTTTTTTTCTTATTCTTTATTTTTTGTTATGTTTTATTAACTTATTTAATTTTCTTAAATATTACTTTATTCTTCAATTTATTAAAAAATATTTTTTTCTTCATTTTTTATTTATTGGAGGTTGTTATTTTATTTTTTTTACATTAATTTTTCCAAAACTTAATTTTAGAAACCTTTATATGGTTATTTAATAATAATTTAAGAATCAGATTTAATATTGTTAAATGATTGTTTCTCATTTTATTTTTTACTAGCAATTTTTAATATAAATTAATCATCGCTATCACTACTACATTCTTTTTTATCATTAGATTATTGAATTATTTCCACTTGCTTATTTTCTAACTTTTAACTATTTATTGCTGTTTAATTTTATGCCATTAAAAATTTTAAACGCTAATTCATTGTTAATTTTATTGAAAACTAAAAAATATATAATATTTAATTTTGATGTGTTAGTAAAATAAAAAAATCAAAATTTTTAAAATAATAATAATAAAAAAAAAAAATTATATTATTTATAACATATAAATATATAAATATTTATTTATTTATTATAAAATGTTTTTTTTATATTTTTTTATATAAAATATTAAACTAATCACTAGTAAAAATTTTATAAATTATTAAAATTTATTTTATTAAAATTATTATTATTTTTTTTCTTATAACCTTAAGAATAACTCACTTTTAAGAATTTGTTCTAAATTAAATACCTTTATTTTAACAAATAAATATAAATGTGTTTAATTCATTTAAAAGTTATTTAATGTTTGCATATACAATTAATATAGAAACTAATAACACTAATAAATTAATAAAATAATTATATATTTGAACGGATTTGATTGTACTGTTTTTTTCTATGATAATTCTTTTTTAACTTCTATATATATATAAATAAACCTGTTAAGACATTTATAATTAAAAATATGGTTTTATCTATGTATTTTAAAAAAAAATATAAGATTCCCTTAATGGATTATATTTTGCATATATTAACTTAAATTTAGCAATGGAATAAAATACACCTTCATATTTAACTATTTATGCGACTCTTTAGTCCCTTATTTATCATTATTGTGGGGTAAAACTATGTTTTATATGGATTATGTGGTTAGATTTTATCGAAAAGTTATCAATTCAGAACAATTAGATTGCAAAGATATAATTAAATTAATGATAGTTCGGTTCTTAAATCAGGATTTACCACTTATTTTAAAGCTTCGAAAAGATTTTATGAAAAAATATTTTTACTTTTTATATGTAATATATATTATTATTTGATTTTATTTTGATATTTTTAGGATTTTTAAAATTGTATGTATATATATTATTTTTTGGCATTTTCATTATAAAAAAAAAATTATATAGATTAATTATTTATATGAAACATATATGTTACTATTTAGTTATTTTTATAATAAAAATAATATAAAATTAAGTTAAATAAACATTTTTATATTGTTATTTATAAAATAAAAATATTAAAGAAACATGACAAAAAAGTAAATTTTTTATTATAAAATTAATTTACATTTTTAAGAATTAATAGTTTATTATTTATGATTTAATTAAATTAAATAATATTTATATTTTATAAAAATACTTTTTAGTATATATAATTTTTACGATGTTTTTTTTATGTAAATTTTTGCGATTTTATTATAAATTTTTATTATAAGCAAAATCAAAAAAATTGTTTTTTATTTTAATTTTTATATTTATGAATATTTGAAAATATGTTAATAAAATAATACTATTTTTTCAAAATGAATAAATGTGTTTTAAAGTATTAGAGCACAAAATAGAAAGATTTTATATATAAATTATATAAATTTTTAACTTTAATATCCATTTTTATTAAAAAATTAACTGTTTTTTTTAATTCAAAATTATTTAAAGAAGTAAATTATTTGAATTTTAATTAAAACAAAAAACTATAATATAATATAATATAATATAATATAATATATATATATATATATATATATATATATATATATATATATATAAATAAATATATATTAAACTGAAAGACAATATACATCTTTTAAATTACAATAAAAATTACTAACTAACATGTAAATAACCGAAGAAGAATTTTTTGAATAACTTCATACCAAATTAAATTAATTATCTAAACTTAAAATGAAAGAAAATCTATTAAACAACAACTATAAAAACCAAGATGACTCCCCAATTTAGCAATATGAAGAAGACGATTTAATAAGCGAATATAATCATTTGATAAAAATTCCTTTAAATGATGAAGGAAAATAGAATATAATTAAAATAATTTATAAATTTCAGATTTCGAAATATATGGAACCTTAGGTTTATATTTTTAAAAAATAAGAAAAAAAAATATAATTTATATTTTTTTATTTTTTTTAAAAAAAAGGTAACTGGGACATTTGGCAGAGTAAGATAAGTAAAAAGAAAAGGAGATACAAATAAATAATTTTATGCTTTAAAAATGTTAAAAAAGACCGAAATAGTTCGTCTAGTATAAGTGGAGCATATAAATTCTGAAAAAAACATACTTTCAAGTATTAAATTCCCATTTATTGTAGATATGTAAACTATTAAAAAAAAAATATAAAAATTTAAAAATAAAAAGGACATCCACATTTTAAGATGAAAAATACATATATATGTTATTTGAATATGTCCAAGGAGGTGAATTATTTACTCGTTTAAGAAAAGAAGGTAGATTTGCAAATGACGTATGTTTATTTTACTCTTGCTAAATATTAATATCTCTATAATATTTATAATAAAACGACATTGTATATAGAGATTTGAAGCCCGAAAATCTTCTAATAGATAAGGAAGGAAATATAAAAATTACAGACTTCGGATTTGCCAAAAAATTAGAAAATGATAGAACTTTTACGCTTTGCGGTACACCGGAATATTTAGCTCCAGAAATAATAAAGGGAACAAAAATTGGATATGGAAAATCAGTAGATTGGTGGGCTTTGGGAATACTGATTTTTGAAATGCTAAGTGGATATCCACCATTTTATGATAATGAACCTATAGGTATATATAAGAAAATTATTGCAGGAATTATTGAGTTTCCAAGATTTTTTGATAATAAAGCAAAAGATTTAATTAGGAAATTATTAAATCCAGAACTTAATTATAGATTGGGTGTTTAAGATGTATTTAAATATAAATTATTTGATTTATTTTTATTTTATATTTATATAATATTATATATTATATTTTATTTTATTTTATTTTAGAAAGGAAAAAGTATATCAAAACATAAATGGTTTAAAGGAGTAGATTGGGAATGCGTTTATTAAAAAGATATTACTCCACCATGGATTCCATTTTTAAGAAATGAATAAGATGACTCGTGTTTTGAAAAATATCCAGATTCAAGAGAAAGTGCTTAATCTTTATCTGAAGATTTATAATATTTATTTGAAGATTTTTGAATTTTGTTTTTTTTAAAAAAAAGTAAAAATAAAAATTAAAAAAAAATTAAGATAATAGAAAACCTATATATATACAAATAAAAATAAAAATATTTAATATATAAATATATATATACATATATTAATATATAAAAAAATTATATTTATATATCTATTTTTAATTTTATTTAATTTTATGTAAAATTTATTTACTTAAAATTTTATGTATCACATTATTTTTTCATATTTATTTTTATATTTTTATCAATTACTATTATTATAGAATTTTCATGTATATAATTAAATAGCATATATTTTTTTTATATCTAGTTTTTTTTTTATTTTGTTTAAATTATATTATGTATTTATTAATATATATTTTTTAAGATATTTATATTTCACTTTTATATAAATTATTTCGAATTATATAAAAATAAAAAGGGTCTTATTAAATAGCTAACTTTTATATTATTATTTAAATTTAAACCTTATTATTTTAATTTCCAATATAATTATTTTATCTTATATTTTTTGTTTTTTATCCTAATTTATTATAAAATAAGAACTAATTATTATATATAAATTTAGTTTTTTTTAATAAGCATATATATTTAATTAGTTTTAAATAATTATTTTATCAAGATAAACCTTTAGTTTTTATTACTTTTTTTTTATCTTTATCTATTAATTATTTAAAATAAGTTTTTTAATAAGATTTTCTTTTATCAAAATAAATAAATTTATGTGTTTATTATATTACCTTTAATTTAAATTTCAGTATTTTATTATTAACTTTTTGTTTATAAAATTCAATATTTTCTCATTTTTTTTAAATAAAAGCATGCTTTTTAATATATTTAATAAATTGCCTTTTTATAATTTTAATTTTATATTTTGCTTTTTCATTAATTTGTATATTTTTTAATTTTAGTTTATTTTTATTCTTAATACTATATATTTTCTGTCTTTTTTTATTTTTTACATTAAAAATATTTATTTAAAGAGGTTAAGATTACATATTTTCTTATATATTTTATATTTAAAAATTTAAATCTCTTTTATTATTGTAAACTAATATTTTTTCTTTATTTAATATGTTTGGTAATTAGTTTTTATTAATATATATATTTTGTTTTATAAAAAAATATATAAATTTATTATAATTTTTAATTTATTAAGAAGTTTATTCATTTTAAATAGTTTTATTCTATATATAATATAACTTTATCTAATATAATATATATGAATTATATGTATTAAAGGATTTTTATCAATAATAAATATATATAATAAAATTATATATTTCTTTCTTTTCTAAATTTTCAATTTTTTTCTTTCAAAATATACAATAAATAACCTTTTATATTTAATATAAGTTTGTGTATATATTTTAAAAAATGACTTAATAAAAGGGTTAATAATTAAATATTGACCTATTTTTATTTTTTGACAGTTTTAAATATCAATAAAATTTATTTTAAAAATAATAAAATATTTAGTTTTAAATTTTCTTTTATAAAAAAATTTGATATAAACTAAGAAAAAAAAAAAAAAAACTAATTTTACTGTTTTTATAAAAAAATAAAGAATAATATGTTTTTTATAGTTAAAAAAATATTAAATTTTAATCTCATAAAATATTTTAAATATATTTAAAAAAAAAATATATATCTTTAAAAAAACAAAAAAAATTACATTAAAGAATATCTATATTTTTTTTTTTTTAAATAAAAAAATGAATTTATTAAATATTAATATATAAGATTTAAATGATGAAAGTGAAGATGATGATTATATTCCAAAAGAAAAAGACTTATAAAAAGAAGAATAAAATTACAAAAAAAACCATAAAAAACACAAAAGACAGCATCCAAAAAAAACTTTAAATAAATATGGCAAGAAATGAAGGAAGAGCAAAAAAATTTAATTAAAAACGAAATTAAAAATATAAAAGAAAAAAATTAAAAAATACTCTAAGATAAGAATTTACTTTAATAAATATGCAATTCTGCTCTTCTATTAAACCAAGAAGATAAATCTAAAAAAGTAATATTTGCCGGCTAAGAATTTACAATAGACAACAATGGAGAAATATTAAGCAAATAAGAAGAATAATAATAAACTTCATGGATAAATAAAACAGTAACCGATAAGTTAACCGAAAATCTATAAAATGCAAATATTTAATCATTATAAACTGAAAATTTGGATATAGAGTAATAATAAACGTTCGAAATAAAATAAAATGTTATAGAATTAAATAATATAAACGACAAATATTAAGATATTAAAGAAAATAATTAATTTGATGAAAATAAAAATATAATATAAAATATATATTAAGAAGAAAATAAAGAAAAATAATACATTAATAATTTAAAATAAAGATTCTAATATTTACATAAAATAATAGATAGAATTAATAATAAAGTTAAAAATATTAGCTCTATATATAAATCTAAGTTAGACTGGAAAAAATTCACATAAAAAGAATAAATGGAAAAGTAGTTTGAATAAAATAGAAAAGGAGGATATATTTATTAATAAAACTTTATACAAAAAGCTACTGAAAAATAAAAATAAATAAATAAATAATAAATAAGAAAATGAATAATATATATATATATAAATATATATTTAAAAATATTATATATATATATATATATATAAAATTTTTTAATATATAATTAATTTTATTTTTTATATTATAAAATATGTGTCTGAATAATATTTTATATTTAAGTATTTTAGATTCTAAAGATTTATTTTATATAGTATAAATAATAAATTTTTTAAAATAATATTTAAAAATTAAATGAATATAAAATATTTATTAATTTAACTAAATCATAATAAAAAAAATTTAAAATATAAATTATTAAAAATCAAAATAAAGTATAAATACTAATAATCAAAAAAATGAACGAAAGTTTTGGAATAATGGATGAAGGATACTTTAAGTCAAGTGGATAAATATTAAAATGGATAAATGATTTATTAAGAGTATAAATATATATATATATATATATGAATATATATAATTATATACATATATATATATATATATTTATTTATATATTTTAATATTTCATCTAATTTAATTTTTTTAAAATATTATCAAAGTTAAATGTATCTAAAATAGAAAGCTTAGGTTCTGGATCAGTTTATTGTTAAGTTGTTGATGCAATTTTTCCTGGTAAAGTGCCTTTAAGTAAAGTTAATTGGAGGGCAAAATTAGATTATGAATTTGTAACTAATCTTAAAATTTTACAAAATTGTTTTACTAAATTAGGAATAAAAAGATATATTGAAGTATTTTAATATTTTTAATTTCAAATAAAAAAAAAGGTAGAAAAACTATCTAAATGTAAATATTAAGATAATTTAGAATTTATTCAATGGTTAATGAGATTTTATGAAGTAAATTGTAATAAATCTCCTGAAAGTTACGATGCTTTGGAAAGAAGAAAAAATGTAGAACCGGATTATTCTTTTGCTGAAAAATAAGTTATTGTTAAATTATTTAACTAGCCTTAATAAAATCAATAAGATAATTAATAACCTGCGAAAAGTTAGGCTAGAAAACCATCTACTTAAGTTAAACAACTAGAACCTGCATTATATAAAAAAGTAGTTAATAATACTAATGCTAATATAAATGTTTAAAATACTTAAGTTATTTAAAATATTAAAGATATTATTTAAAATTAAAATATTTCTGATTCTGAAAAAGTTGCAAAAATTGCAAATCTTCTCAAGATTGAATCAAATTAATGTAATTTTTTTTAATAAAAAGATATATATAAACAAATAATAAATAATAATATACTATTTAAGGCGAAGAATTTTAAAATTAAAATGAAGAAAATATGTAAGCTGAAGAAGAATTACTTTAAAAAGAATTAATAGATGAAGAATAAACTATATGATTCAATATTTTTTAAAAAATCATATAAATTAGTTTATGAAAATTTTTAAATTTTTAATCTATTTTATAATAAATAGTTTATATTTTTTTATATATATATATATATAATTTAAAAGTATAATTAATAAAATATTTACAAAAACAAAAATACTATATTTTTTTAAAATAAATAAAAATAATATTTTTTTTGAATTATATAATAAAAATACATTATTAATTTTTTGAAATTATATATAAAATATATTAAAAAAAATTACTAATTAATAAAACTTTATCTTAAAATTAAATTTTATCATATTTATATTAATTAAATCAGTGATATAAAAACTATATATAGTTTATGTATAAAACAATATAAATTATCATTATTATGACATTAATAAGATAATTACTAATAAATATATCAATATAAAAAAAAATATGAAAAAAATTAAATGTATTAATTCTTTATAAAAGTAAATTAAAATATAATTTTATATAAATGATTATATCATAAAGCTAAGATAAAATAAAACAAAAGAGAAAAAGAAAAATCAAAAAGAATAATAAAGAAAAAAAAATTATATAAAAGTATAAGAAATGATATAATATATAAATTAGAATAAAAAGTATATATGTATAAGAAAAAAATAAATAAAATAATTATAAATATTATAAAAATATTTATAAATTAAAATTAATATATTTGTAATTTATAAATATAAATATTTAAAAAAAATATAAATATTTATATTATTTTAAACTATTTTTTATTATTTTATATTATTTTATATTTTTTATTTTATTATATATTTTTATATTTTTTATATTTTTTATAAATTTTTTATATTATTTTTACATTATTTTTTACTTTATTTTTTTATTTATTTAAAATTATTTTAATATTATTTT